TATTTCTGTCCTTTGACTCCCCACCTACAAAAGAATAGGCTTTATTTCCAATGTATAGTTAGCACATCTAATTGAACCATTGAACTGTAGAGGTGAAAATGACCACAAGGGTCATCTAGTCCAACCCCTCCAATGTGGAAATCTTTTGCCCAACATCAATCCTGAAATTAAGATGCTCTGCCAATTTATGCTCTACCAACTGAGCCATGATCCAGGTTCCTTTCGTGACTCTGGGCACAGTGTTTAGGAATGGCTGATGGCTCGTGATACTTGCAATCACAAGCTTTTGTCTGCTGCTCTTGTTATATTTGGTTTTTAGTATATTGCAGATGATAATATTTAATTGTTGAGCAGTGCCTGGATGTGTTTTATGTGGCAGGTTGCATGTAAATATTGTTAAACAAATGAATAATGTACGGAATGATTGTTTTTGTCTCTCCCCCCCACCAAAAAACCCCCAGAGCTATGCAACATGCACTAGTTTTTTGTTCTTTTTAGTGACCTAGAAACTCTTATAAACATGCTTTAAAGAATCCACTTTTAATTTCCAAAGCTAAGTTTCTGGTCCTCATGGCCCAGAGATACATTCGATAATAAGATGGCTCCAAAATTTCATTTTTAAAAATTAACTGAAATAAGTGGGAGAAGGTATGTAACAATGATGTGTGTGTGTGTGTGGGGGGGAATTCATTCAATATCAGGGCGCTGTGTGTGTGTGTATGAGGGATATGCACAAATATGCATACTCTCCAATATTCCTCGGATGAAAACAGGGATAATCTTTTCTACATCCGTGTCCATCCCACCCCCATACTCCCTATACTGTATATGCACACTGCTGATGGAAAAGGGTGGGGTCCGCTGAGCTTCCCCAACGGCTGTTACCAAGAGGAGTATGTAGCAATACTGTACTGGCAAATGTCTTGGTTATATGAGGGAGCCTTAAATTATATATGGTAAAAACCCTGAGGTTGCCATCAACCTGCCTTGGGCATCAGAGGAGGGACCTACACCAGATGTTTACAAGGCAGCACTTCTGCAGCAGCAACATAGTCTCTATGGTTGGCAGCTGTGACAGCCGAAGGGCTACTGCGCGCCTGCGGCCCCCTAGGCCGCTCCTGTTGCCCCACTACTGTAGTTGGATGCATTGAGCAGTACCAGTTGGCAGAGCTGAGAAGGGGTGGAATGGCAGCAGCTGGCATCCCTCCCCTTCCCTCCCCATGGGTCTGGCTGGGCTGCCTCTCCCCCCCCATCCGCCCCTGCCCCAGCCCATCCCCACTCCTTTTCCCCACCTGTGGAATTCAGGACTCTGCATAACGTAGTGAGAAGCCATTATGGTCCTGGCAATTTCAGGGCAGTTGGAGACATAACATGTCTATAGCATATCTGGGTAGTGTAAAGCCATGAAGACTAAAAACATACTACAGTGGAATCTCTACTTACCACCATAATCGGTTCCAGCGGCCCGTCCTTTAGGTGAAACGGGTCGCTGGTAGAAGTGCCGTTGTGTGCATGTGCAGACGGTGGCAGAAGCCGCTTCTGTGCATGCGCAAATCGCAGCAAAACTGGCTGCCTCCACGTCGCCCAGAGGCATCTGCGGTTCGGATTGGCCCCAGGGCCTTAGTTTGCCGACCCCTGCACTAAAACTATAAGCCTATAAAACAACAAGTCTATAAAACTATGAAATAATATTCTTCCCTTGGTACGGAAAAGACCACAAAGAAGGTGCCAGGTGAGCCTTTCTGGGGAGGGTGTTCCACAAGCAAGGCACCACCACTGAAAAGGCCCTCTATCCAGCAGTCACACATTGTACCTCATTTGGGCCTCTAAAGACAATCAAATGGTTTGGAGAAGTATAGACAGGAGATGATTCTTCAAAGAACTAGCCTGAAGCCTCTTAGGGCCTGAAAGGTCACTACCAGAACTTTAAACTGGACCTGGAAATGGACTGCAAGCATGTGTGGATGTCTAAGCATTGACTACACCATATGCTTATAATGACCAGTCCTCAGTTAGCATTTTGGCTGCTATGTTTTGGACCAGGTGAAATTTCTAGAACATTGTCAAAGGCACTCTCTCACATATAATGTACACTTATTGAATGACATACCCTCCGACATTTCTCCGGTGAAAACAGGGATATCCTATTCTATATTATTACTATTATTACCTGGTCATCTTATTGGGTTGCTGCATCCACTCTAGGCAACTTCCAACATATATAAAAACATAATAAAACCCCCTTGGTTCAGGGGTTACATAACTCCATGCCCTCCAACATTTCTCCGATGAAAATAGGGATGTCCTACTATCCCCTCCAACATGGGACCCTTGGGGGATCTGGAATGAGTGTACCTCTTTGCCCGGCCATGCACTCTTCTTTGCAAAAGAAAACAGGATTGAGAGCAAGGTATGTTGGGCTCATGCAATGTTGCAAAAGCCATGGTGTTGTTGAAGTGCAGCAAAACACCCAGGAAGTTGCCCTGTTGTGCATTGCACCATGCAAAGCCTGTGGGAGTCAGTGCGGATGGAGAGCAGATGCAACAGGGGCATTGAGGAGACTTTGTGAGCACAACCCCATCTCCATCAACTTGCCCAGGCTAATAATAATAATAATAATAATAATAATAATAATGGAAGCACACTGAACAAAGAGCCCAGATGCCAAATATTTGGCTGAGCTGATTGTCTGTTCCCATTGCAAAAACACATAGTAATAGTCTGACCATCTATAGGAAATATGTGTCAGGCGACACACACACATTTTTGTACATATCAGTGAGGGTGTATGTAAGTACTTAATGTTGCAGCACAGGTGAGTACTGATGTCTAGGAATAAATCCTAAGAGAGTCAGAAAATTATGACAGTTACCACAAATGTCATTGCCAACTGAATGCCTTCAGGAAATATCAAACTTATCGCAGTCATTTTCATCATTTACTAAGAAAGGACATACTCCATATCAAGCCAGTGTAAAATATATCAGTCTCATGACACAAAGTTTTGTGACATTTTCCACTGACCTCTGGAAAGTTACCTATGAATGTTAACATTCACCAAGTTTGTGACATTACCTAGCACATGTTGCAGTGAATGTCCCAAATCTGGTGGATGTTGACAATCCTAGACAAATGTTTTTGAATATCCCCACTTGTCCAACATACAATGGCGAAAAATGATCATTCACCCTGAACATTCACTGATGCACTTCAGGTTTTTTTCTACAAAACTAATTTGTAGTACTTACAATTTGACAAAATTTGTGTGAAACAGACTCAGTAAATTGAGGAGGAATGTGAAATGACCTCACCCCCAACATTGTTTCTCAAAATAAATTTCAACTTAACTTCTCTGATCCTTGCTTACTTCAAATTATTTCGCTGAACTCTGAGCACACACACCGCCTTCTCATACAAAATCAGGATGGTGGTAAAGCCATATAAAAGTATACTCTCTCCCTCTTAAAAGTAGTACAAAACAATCACTCAAATGTCTCAAGAAAATTGTAAACAACTGCATAGGCACAAAAAAAGTCTTCAAGAAGACAGCTGAAAGTCAAATGCGAGGATGCCTGAGGAGAGATTGTTCCACAAATGCCAGGCTTCTGGTTGAGCCCAACTAGGCCTCTGTAATATTAATATTATTTCTGATAACAAATGCCTAATCTCTGAGCCTCCCCCCCCAACCCCACTCTCGTCTGGAGACAACTTTAAACTTTTGCTTTTTAAACGACACATCTCTGAGGTGGATTTTGCTTCTTTGTTTCTTTTTCTGAAAGACATTCTCGTTCCATTTTATTTTTAAACATCTAAATGTAAAAATAAAATAAAAAAGGTTCCCCTAGTACTTCAGGATTAAAAATAAAATGGTATGGAACACTCTTTTTAAAAAAACAAGACGGCTTCAACCACAGCTTTTTCTTTGGAGGAATACTTAATATTGCACCGCTCAAAGAAAGCAAGTGGTTGGAGGAACAATCCACCAATTTAGAAAAGTGTGCGCTTTTTCTGTAGATAGCCAACCGTCTAGCAGTATGGCTGTGGCCCTCAGAGAGCAGCAAAAGAGGAAGCCATTTTTCAAAACTATGGCAGCCATTTTGCCCCTCCCAAACTTCCAAAACAAAATGGCGGCCACTCTTATTCTCCTTCCACCTCCACCCCTCAAATTTCACATCACATCAGTATATAGGTTAAACTGTTGGAGAAAATAATTTCATGAAACTATTTGGATTATTCCATTTTCTTTTAAGCCTATGGACTACCTTTCATGGTACAGAACTAGCCGCTTTTAGGTACTGTACGTGGCAAATGTCCGTTCCAGAAAACCAAAAAGAATAAACTGTTAGACTCTATGGTGGCCACTGTATACCTGAAAAGAAAATCAGCCAGGCATGGCTATTGTGATGAATCTTGAATTGTTTTGTAGATAGATGAAAGGGGATATTGGGTGACATTTAATGAATAGGAAAATTAGCCAACGTCTTAATAAAGAAAGATGCTGAAAAATGGTTATATGTAATTAAATTACATGATATTATGATGAGGGCTGATCTGAAGAGCCAAATGATTTTGATTGGTTCAGAATGATGGCATTGGGTTACAACTATTAAGTATGCTGTGATCCTTTGATTGGTGAAATGAAATGATCTGTGTGATCCACAAGTGTGTAAAAAAAAAAAAATTGCTTGCAGTTGCCTCCTTATTTTTAAGGCTGTCCCTATGCACATTTGTATTTCAGTAAAGGCGTATCTTTTCACTTGCAGCCTGCATCCTTTTCCTTTGGGTTTCTGTGTGGGTAACCTCCAGTCTAGGAACCTCCTTTTTAATTTCCCCAACAAAACAAAACAGCCAATTCAAATGTGGGTGAAATGGCTAAGAAATTGTCCTTGTCAATCCCCCCTCCCCCCAGCCCTAGATGGGGAAGGAATTACCTGATTTGCACCTCCTTGACTCATAAGCAAGAGGTGATCCAACTTTTAATTTCTTTTCTTTTAATTGCTGGGGGGTAACTAGAAAGCGGGTGGCCAACCATTTTCCTTACTTGTGCTCATGATGTTTCTTTCACGTTTGAACCAACTGCGGCTGCTTTCAGATGACCTGTTTGCTGAGCTTTCATCCTCAGTTGTTTGCACAAAAGTTTTTAGGTTATATGACCTTGGTTGTTTGTTGAGCTTTCCTCCTGATTTGTTTGCAGGGAGGCGACCTTGTGTCAGGCAAATGTTATCCAACACTTTCCAGGGCATTTTCTTGTCACTTTCCTGTGTTTTTTTTTACAAGGAAGTTGGTTTGCTGCTCTAGAGTGCCAGATTCACTTTAACTGTGTGCTTTGAATTTGGTGGTACGTGGCTGAATCCCACCTGAAAATAGTGACGATCTGGAAGTGCCCTGTATCCTGATAGGTTCAGGAATGGCAATAAAATCTGAAAGCAGAACAAAAGTAGCAGCAATATAGCCAAGAAACAAAACTGTATCAAACAGCAAAAATAATAAACAAAATTTCTAAAATATATTCAAAATTAGCCTGCCATTAAAATACATGTGTGCCATTTACGTGTCTTATCTGTGTCCCTATTTTCCAGGGACATCCCTGATTTAGAGATGGCATCCTGGTTTCTGATTTGATCCTGGAATGTCCCGGTTTTCCTTAGGCTGTCCCTATTTTCATTGGAGAAATGTTGGAGGGTATGGAGTTATCCACCCCCGAGCCGTTTGAAGGCAATCCTGAATAGGGAAGTTTTTAATTTTTTTAAAAATGTTTTGTTATGTTTTTATATATGTTGGAAGCTGCCCAGAGTGGCTGGGGCAACCCAATAAGATGTGTGGGGTATAAATACAGTGGTGCCTCAGGTTACATACGCTTCAGGTTACAGACTCCGCGAACCCAGAAATGGTGCTTCAGGTTAAGAACTTTGCTTCAGGATGAGAACAGAAATCGTGCTCCGGCGGCGCAGCGGCAGCAGGAGGCCCCATTAGCTAAAGTGGTGCTTCAGGTTAAGAACAGTTTCAGGTTAAGAACAGACCTCCAGAACGAATTAAGTACTTAACCCGAGGTACCACTGTAGTAAAATTATCATTATGGAATGGGACACCCCTATTTTCATTGGAGAAATGTTGGAGGGTATGCCATTGTGCATTTGTGCCAGACCCAGAGAAAGAGAGGGAGCATGAGGGCTACATCAGCGTGCTGCTGCATGCATCCATTCTGCTCTCATATGTGCCTGGGCATGTATGGCTGTGCGCTCGATCACTCCATCACTGCCTCGTTCAGGCTTTGCCTTTGTAGGGCTTTAAACCTGCCAATGACTTGCGGACGTGCTGTGAAATCTGAGTGGGCTTGGCCCGCTCCTTGCCGGTGGTGTGCGCAACCAGAATGCTAAACAGCCCTTGGGAGACAGGCCTCACTTAGTGTCCGCATTGGTTGCTTCTCTCAAGGGTGTGTGTGTGTGTGTGTGTGTGTGTGTGTGTGTGTGTGTGTAGAGCATGACAAGGCCTTTCAGCAGTCAGCCCTAACTGGGATTTCTTCTTGACCGTGTGCGTATATGCATGTGTGTGTGTGTATGAGTGCTGCTTCCTCATAAATGCGATGCTCATTTCTCCTTCCCAGGCTGGGAGCAACAACCTGCTCGATTTATGGGCCCTGCACTGTGCATTTGCCACCTTGCTTGGTACTGCTTTCCCTCCGAGGTGACAAGACGCAGGTTGTTTAGACAGACACACACAGATAAAAGAGCAATCTGCTGCTATCTTGTTCTGGGGCAGGTGGGATCTGCTTTCTATCTGTGGCGAAAGTCCTAATGTTCATGGAAGCCACAAACTGACGAGAAAAGAGGGTGGGGTTTTTGGGGTGGGTGTGTGTGTGAGAGAGAGAGAGAGAGCGTGCAGGCAACGGAAGGCCTGAAGGTTTTATTATCTCTCCCCAGGGAAAGTTTAATGCAAGGTGCTAAAATAGATAAGTTGTTGTTTGCACGCATTTGTATTGGACATAAATTAGACATCCTGTTAGATAAACTGGCTGCAGCTGTGGGGAGAAGAAGGTCAGAGAGAGGAGTGTGGGGACAGGCATGGCTGGGCTGAACAATCAGCAACTTGAAGAGAAGATGCAAGTTTCCAAGGGGAGTGGGGTGAGAATAAAAAAAGAGAGATGGTTGAGACTCAGGACAGGTAGGGAGTGGCAAAAACCCCGGAATGGATTAATCTTGTACACTGTGGGCTCTGCTTGCTCTCAGCCTCTCTGAAGCCCAGGGAGCAACATTTATTGTGGAGGGAGAGCTCTGGGACACTGCCGGATGAGTCAGTACTACGCTCCCCTCCCATACTTTTTATTATGTGCTGATGATGATTTGGGCTCATGATGGTAAACGGACAGTTTATACACTTTGTGCCTGCAGAAGTTTTGGGGCTGACATCCTGCTTTATCTCTGGTGAGCGCATGTCCTATAGCTTCCTGCTAAAACCCTGTAACTTTAAAATGCCACACATATTCAGGTTTAATATTTGTCCACTTTTGTTGCGCTACAGATGACAAGATTGCTTTCACCCTCCAGATGGCAAGAATGCGTTAGTGTTGGGGAAGCATTGCAAAACAACTAATAAAGTGAAATAATGGGTGGATGGTCCAGTATAAATCCACTACTAAAGCTAAAGCTAAAGGGACCCCTGACCGTTAGGTCCAGTCGCGAACGAATCTGGGGTTGCGGCTCTCATCTTGCTTTACTGGCAGAGGGAGCTGGTGTACAGCTTCCAGGTCATGTGGGCAGCATGACTAAGCCGCTTCTGGTGAACCAGAGCAGCGCACAGAAACACTGTTTACCTTTCCGCCGGAGTGGTATCTATTTATCTACTTGCACTTTGACGTGCTTTCAAACTGCTAGGTTGGCAGGAGCAGGGACTGAGCAACGGGAGCTCACCCCGTCGTGGAGATTTGATCTGCCGACCTTCTGATCGGCAAGCCCTAGGCTCTGTGGTTTAGACCACAGTGCAACCCGCGTCCCATAAATCCACTACTAAGGCACTGTTATTCCTTCAATGACATACAGCCTGAAATATACTCGGAGTCGAGAGTTGATTTCATGCTCTTTATTCAGCTCATAGTGGTGAGGAGGAATGGAAGTTTCCCCACAGTATCTGCTTTATATACATTATTTACACAATGGGCTGCATGTGATTGGCTAATTCCAGAATTCTCCTGTAGGCCAATCAGGTTGTGGATTCACTTCCATCTGGAGCTGGATTGGGTGGCTCTTGCGGACCAATCATACCGCTGCATTGTTCTAGGACCAATCAGACTGCTGCATTTTGGATCCTATTGTTCTAGGACCAATCAGACTGCTGCATTTTGGATCCTATTGTTCTAGGACCAATCAGACTGCTGCATTTTGGATCCTATTCAACTCAGTACATAACACTGTTGATTTAAAGCAGAGTCTGGTTGCCAGCGGAAGGATGAGGAAAATGTGCTGCATACTCCTTATTGCTTTATTTACAGTTCAAAGCTGGTATAATACAGAAAGACATCTTGCCTCTGCCGGAGCAGAGAATGCATCCTCTCTCCTCAACAGCTCGGAGAGAATCACACAGTGAAAAAACAGGAAACCAGTGTACGTCACATCCAGTCTCCCTTTCCCGTGAGAAACTCCAACAGTACAGACTGTGGAATGTAAACACCTGTCTCGTGACATGCAGAGCTGCACAGTGAAGGAAAGCAGAAACCAACATCCTCCCCTTTCTGTGAACATCACTGGGCAGCGTGTTTGTACAATATCAGTACAAACCCAACTTCTGCACATAGGTACAGTGTTGATCCCTCGATACAATCTTGGACAATACATCAGCAGGAATTTCATTACCTGGCATATAGGACACCGTTACGAGTCCCTTCTGAATACATTCCCTAGCATGCTGCAACTTTAATTGCAAGTGCTTTGTGCTTTGCTTACAACCTTCAGACTTCAGCAAAGCCAAACATGCTTTGTTGTCCTGGTAAACCTGGATTGGACATTTGACAGGAATTTTCATATCTTTGCACAATTGTACTAACCATTCACAATCCTTAAGTGAATAAGACAGTGCATTCAGTTCGGCTTCACAAGTACTTAAGCTAACTGTTGTTTGCTTCTTGCATGACCAATCAAACAGACCCTGATTGTACATGTAGCAAACTCCAGACGTACTTTTCCTGTCTGTAGCGTCACTTCCAAAACTTGCATCTGCAAATATCTCAAGACCACCAGACTTCTGATTGTTAAATCTCAGTCTGTAATGCATAGTGCCTTTCAAATACCGCGCTATGCGTTTCAGAGCTTTCCAATCCTTGACACTAGGATTGTTGACTTGTCTGCTTAGCAAATTACAGCTAACAGCAATGTCTGGTCTTGAACATCTGGCAATGAAGTTTAGCTTGCCTAGCACACTCCTGTACAGTGTAGTGTCAGAAAATGCTTCTTCAGTGTCATCTACCTGATAACCTGTTGTCATCGGTGTGTCTACAGGGTTAGCATCCATCAGATTTAGTTTGCTTAACACATCAGCAATTTTCCGTGACTGGTGTACTAGAATGTTACCATCTTGATCTCTCTCTATTTCCAGAGATAGGTAGTTGTTTACCTCACCAAGATCTTTCATGTCAAAGTGCTCTTTCAGTTGAGCTAGGGCGCTATTGTACATTGCAACATCTTTCCAAAAGAATAATAAATCATCAACATAAAACAAACAGTACAGTTTCTTTTGCCCCTCCTCTTTGACAAATACACATGGATCAGCTTTCCCTTGCTGAAAACCTAGAGAAAACAATACTTCAGTGAGTTTTGTGTGCCAACACCGTGCACTTTGTTTGAGACCATAAAGGGATTTCTTCAGAGCACAAACAAATCCCTGTTTTACCTGTACGCCATCAGGTGGAAGCATATAAAGATATAATCGACAGAAAGCTGAATATCAGTGCTATGTGTTCCGCGCTAGTGAAATGCTTTTCATGGGGAATAGGTTTGATGTCGACCTGGCAACCTGGCAAATCTGGCTGGTCGACTATGCATGACTGTTCGCTTAAGACCACAGTTTCATCCTGTCTGGACCCCATGTTTGTTCAATCCTTCATGGTTTACCATGCTTTTAATCAACCCTGATTTGAACTAAGGTCATCTGGCTTTCGTCATGCTTGTCAGATTCTCCGATAGTCTCTTCCTCCAAAACACCTTGAACAATGGTTGAGAGATAAACTGATCACAGTCAGACTCAGCTTATCGTGTGTGGGTTGCTTGACATCCGTCTCTCAGTCAGTAAAATCCATCCCCATTCACTTCGTGAGCTTTTTAGAGTATCACATTATTAGATCTTACCTAAGTACCTCATGTTATTTTGTGGGGCGAACCCATGTCAGAACAAAATCTGTGTTTGATGTATGGCTTCTTGCCAAACATCTTCTCATAGAGGTACAACCAATCGCTGAAGATAATCTGCGATTGTAACTGTAAACAAAACACGAGAGAGATTCGGCCCAATAACTCTCTGGAAGATTGGCATCATGCAGCAAGGTCTTTAACCCTTGAAGCAATGTCTGATTTGCCCGTTCCGCAAGTCCATTCTGCCATGGCGAGCGAGGACTAGACAAATCGTGTTGAATTCCTTTCTCAGTCAGAAAAGCTTCAAACTGCTGAGAAGTGAATTCTCCCGCGATCACTGAAAAGAGTCTTTATCTTCTTACCATGCACATTTTCCAACCAAGCACAGAATTCCTTGAACCTAGGAAAAGCCTCCGATTTCTGCTTGAGATTGTACACAAAAATATATCTAGAAAATGCATCAATGAGAACCATGAAGTATCTATTTTCACCCAAAGAGGGCGCTAATGGTCCAACCAAATCAGCATGAACAACCTGGTATGGTTCTGTAGCTGTCCTACTAGACACCTTACCTTTCGCAGCCATTTTCACCTTGTTTGCTGCGCATGCTTTGCACTTCATGTGGTACCTGCAGGGTTTAATAGTCATACCTTCAACCAAGGCAGGCATTTTAGATACTGCCTCAAAATGCAAATGACCAAATTTTCGATGAAAATCGTGAATACATTCTGCATGCAAACTTTTGTTAGAACCTGCAATGCAACAAGTGTCATCCTGCACCACATCATCATAATACAAAACAAACAAACGATCAACATATTCTGCATGCAATACATAATCATTTTCTTTGTGATGATGCACTTCTTGTTCTTGAAGGAAACGTCAATGTTCCGCTCATTCAGCTGTCCAACGCTGAGCAGATTATGTTTGGCGTCTGGCACGTAAAGCACATTCTGTATCGATAAGTCCAAACTGTGAAGAACAACAGTTCCGTAGCCTTTACTGGGAATAGTGTGGTCATCCGCCTGGTGAATCGCACCTTCCTGCGGTGTAAAAGACACAAACAGTTTCTTATCGTTGCACATGTGGTGGGTCGCCGCTGAATCAACAACGAAGAAAGATCTAGACGTCTTCTGGACCTCTGCAACCTTTGGAGTGAAGCGTGAAACCATAGCCTTGTGCTGCGTTGTCCTAGACACCGGACCTTTGCCTTTGCCTCGGCCTTTTCCGCGCGATGAGCTTTCGCTGCGCTGCTCTGTCTTGGCCCTGGGATGTCTGCATTCCCTCTTCATATGGCCTAGACGTCCACATGAGTAGCATTTCACTGCCTTCAAAGCTTTGGCGCCATCTGGTGGTTCCACTGCACTATGGGATGACGTCTGTGAAGACTCCCCTTTGCCCATGCAGCTAGCACCCGGCGATCTGCTTCATTTAAAATCACGGCAGTAACAAAGTCCACTGTCAGCTGAGCAGTTGGTTGCACAGCAATCTGGGTTGCAACAGACTCCCAACCTGAACCCAAAGATTGTAGTATCATGAAAGAATACACAGCCTCTGGAAAGTTGAGTCCTCTCTGTTGCAGCTCATGTCTGAGATTTTGCATCTGCATCAGATGTAAACGCACATCTCCACCTTCAGCAAGAGCCATATTATGCAGCTTGTTAAAATAAAACATAGTGGATCCAGCTTCTGTCCTTAAGTGAGCCTCTCTCAGAGCGTCCCAAATTTCTCTGGCTGAGGTCTTATCACGCAATAGACAGAGCTCTTCTGGGGATACTATCAATGTAAGAGTTCCCTTGCTTTGGAATCCTTAGCTTCCCATGCATCTGTAACTGGAACTGGGGGTTTCTGTAATCACCTCAAACAAACCCTCTTTCCGCAGAATTGCCTCTGCATACTGAACCCAGTCGCTGTAATTTTTCTTGTTGAGCTTAGGAATCCCACAAGCATCCTGAAGGGCCATCATGACTCTGGCATTAGCCTTCAGCGTCATATGCTGCTTTAAATCTTGCTGCGTCACTGCTGCAGCTGCCTCATTACAACGGCACACTTAAAAGTTACTTCGATTTCCCCAGCATAGTGACTTGTGCCTGGGAGCCTTTTGCCTATTTGCAAAACCGGCTTTAAAAGTTCAAAGTCCAGCCATAAAGCCATTATCTTGAAGCTGGCAGGCTGCCCGGAGCAGTAGCACATACCTCATCAATCACTTCTACGCGCAGAGCAGATTCCTTTCCGATCCGTCCCTCTGCATTCCGATCCTTTGCCGGCACTCCGATTCGACCTCTGGAGTCCATAACCACGTGTTGATTTAAAGCAGAGTCTGGTTGCCAGCGGAAGGATGAGGAAAATGTGCTGCATACTCCTTATTGCTTTATTTACAGTTCAAAGCTGGTATAATACAGAAAGACATCTTGCCTCTGCCGGAGCAGAGAATGCATCCTCTCTCCTCAACAGCTCGGAGAGAAAAAAAAACACAGTGAAAAAAACAGGAAACCAGTGTACGTCACATCCAGTCTCCCTTTCCCGTGAGAAACTCCAACAGTACAGACTGTGGAATGTAAGCACCTGTCTCGTGACATGTAGAGCTGCACAGTGAAGGAAAGCAGAAACCAACAAACACAGCCATACATTGGAAGTTGAACGGAATCCGTTCCGGAAGTCCGTTCGACTTCCAAAACATTTGGAAGCCAAAGTGCAGCTTCTGACTGGCTGCAGGAAGCTCCTGCAACCAATCGGAAGCCGCAGAAGCCCTGTCAGACATTTGGCTTCCAAAAATATGCAAATTGGAACAGTCACTTATGGGTTTGCGGCGTTTGGGAGCAAAAACGTTCGAGAACTAAGCTGCTCGAAAACCCAGGTACGACTGTATTACATAATACACCTGCAGAAAAAAAAAATCCTACCCATCTGGAAAGGCCATAGCTTTTTTCTCCTTTTGAACTGCTTTCCTGTTGTGGGTGGGAGACATGCTGAGGCACATAAAATGGTTGTGTGTGCATGCACATGAAATCCACAATCTTTCACCTGGGTGAGATCCTCTCAAATGACCTCCCAGTGCTTTTGTGACATCAGCAGCTTTTGAACCAATCACCATCCTCCTCTCAGACCAATCTGTATCCCTAGCAACCAACACATCTTTCACACTAAGAAAAATGTCTTCAGTGTTTAATAATCCTAGAAACACCCTCGTTCTCATCTTCCTGATAGGGAGCTGGAACTCTGCTCAGACACCCATTACTGGAAATATCATCTCCATATAATCTGTTACTTCATAACTGATATCCAAGTGTGTGAAGTGTCACCACGGAGGTGATAAAACGGTTTTGTTTGTGGGGCTTTACCTGTGATGGCTGCTCCAGATCTTCTAAGAGTACCATAGCTTAGTGGCGCAGTCCAAGTTTTCCAGGCAGCCGTGGGTCCAGGCTCAGTCTCTGACATCTTTCTTGAGAACAGGAGCAGGCAAACTCTTTTTTACTCTGACGCTGTTTTCATTCTTGAGACATTCATTCATGCACAGAGCAACATATATGATTCTGTACAATAGGGTACATTCCACCCATGCCAAAATCAAAGGTTTCTACACCCAGACCCCACAGTGCCACTGGCAGGATACTTCACATGCAGAATAACCCAGGTGCAATTGCTAGCATCTCCAGCATCTCCAGGTACAGCTGGGAAACAACCCTGTCTGAAACTATAGTATGTTTCCGAGCACAAATCAAAGTGTTGGTGCTGACCTTTAAAGCCCTAAACGGCCTCGGTCCAGTATATCTGAAGGAGCGTCTCCACCCCCATCATTCAACCTGGACACTGAGGTCCAGCGCCGAAGGCCTTCTGGCGGTTCCCTCACTGTGAGAAGCGAAGTTACAGGGAACCAGGCAGAGGGCCTTCTTGGTAGTGGCGCCCACCCTGTGGAATGCCCTCTCATCAGAAGTCAAAGAAATAAACAACTATCTGCCATTTAGAAGACATCTGTGAAGGTTTAGGGAAGTTTTTAATGTTTGATGTTTTAACGCAGGCACGTCCAACAGGTAGATCGTGACCTACCGGTAGATCACTAGACATCTGTGGTAGATCACTGGCTCCACCCAAAGAAGCTCCACAACTTTGACCTGAACACCCCAAAGGGGGTAGATCACTGCCAGTCTTTAACTCTGTGAGTAGATCACAGTCTCTTGGGAGTTGGCCACCCCTGTTTTAATGTATTTTTAATCTTTTGTTGGAAGCCACGCATAGTGGCTGGGGAAACCCAGCCAGATGGGCGGGGTATAAATAATAATAATAATAATAATAATAATAATAATAATAATAATAATAATAATTTTATTTTATTGACAGTCAGTATAGACCACTGTTGGGGAAAACTACAACTCCTACCATCCCTGACCACTGGCCATCTTGGCTGGGGGCTGTTGGGACTCAGAGCCCAACAACCTCAGGAGGGCAACAGTTACCTACCATAACTGTGTAGATGGGACAAGAAATATCACTATTTCTCCACAGCAATTATGGTTGCCAGTGTTAGGGCTCATCCCTGGGAAAACCCTCTCTTTGCCGCTGAATTGGAGCAAACTGCAATTTGGTTTTCCATGGACTGACATTTGCTCCAATTCAACGGTAATAGCTCGTCTACAAATATTAGCCTCCTTCATTACAACCGAGCAGTAGATACATTCTTAAAATAAATAAATACTCAATAGACACTTTAAAATCTGCATACATTTAATTTCATTCACAGCTGTAAAAGATGAATAGCTATTACTTTCTTTGATCATTATAAGAACTTTGTAACTTTAATAATGTGTTTGGGATTACTTGTTGCTGCGCCTCCCTCCGTATTCCTTTTTCTTTTGTATCATAACTTCTAGATTGTAAACCTGAGGGCAGGGATTATCTTCTTTTTTTTTATGGCTCTGTAAATTGCTGTTGGCTAAAGAACACCCCCAATTCTTCACCCCCATTTCCATGCCTTCTCCTTTTTTCAACTCCTCCCTGCTCACAGACCACCCTGCTGGTAAGCTTGTTCAGTTAGAGAGCTCAGTAAGTAAGTTCAGTTGATGGACGGTGTACATATTTTGTTGTTAATGAAATATCTGTTTTAAATCACTACATTGAATTTGGAACTTGAAGGCAACACACAGTGCCAGGAATGAAATATACTGTGGGAAGGAGCTATGGAATATTTGAGGGTTCTGCATCCTTTATCTCTCTCATATGAGGCAGCTGAGAAATGGGAAACAGAGATGTTTGAGTACAGCAGGAAGGAAGCGACACTGACGTATTCTCCTTCTTTTTCCCAGTCCCCCTTCTTCTCTTCCACAGCACTGCAAATGCCCCTTTCAACCCCCATCCACTCCCATCTGCCCCTCCTGAATCATCCTTCTCTCAAGCTTGCTTCCATAATGTCACCAGAGCCCTTAACCTTCCCTCTCTCTCACCCCTATCTAGCTTTCTTCCCCTTCCTTCATCCAAATGCCATTTCCATCCTCACCCAATTCCACCTGCCCCTTCACTAATTCCTCCTCTCTCTTTCCCCCTGCCAATAGGGGACTAAAACTGTCAAACACAAAAAACCACTTCTTCCTCTGCCTTCCTTAAGCCCCCATTAGCCATTTACTATACACACATCCCCTTTATTTTCCTTCCTGCTCTCTCCTTCCCCCATCACTGCCTTTCGAACCTAAGGGGAAAACCAATGAAAACAGCAAGATGGCAGACTAGTATGGCTATAGTATAGAGATAAATAATATTTAATATTAATGGTTGTCAAGTGTGATGGTCTTTTCTTAAATATACAGTGGTACCTCGGGTTAAGAACTTAATTCGTTCTGGAGGTCCGTTCTTAACCTGAAACTGTTATGGTCCAGCTTTCACTTTCACGAGGCGGGCTATAAATGCAATAAACAAATAACAAAGTAAATACATAATGAAATGTATTAGTGTCTCACGGCATGCCCAAGAGGCCGATTCTGGGATGTAACACTGGGGCAAGGGTGTGGGGAGAGTCTGAGTGCTGGAGGAAGGGGGCAGGGGAGGATGTTGCAGTAACTGCCAGTAGACAAGGCTTCTGCTTTGCTGCTTTCCCAGTGAAGGTTGGATGGATGGTTGGCGTCAGTTTATGTTTATGACTCAGAGAAAGCAAAGCTGGGAGACAGGTCAACATTCTCTCCCTTCCCCATCCAATCCTGGCTGGTTCCCCAGTGAAATCACGGTGCTGGAGAGAACGTTGCTTGACTGGGCCTGTGCAAGATGCATTCCCCAACTGCTGCCACAGGAATCTGTCTAATGACATTCCCGGCTGTTCCTTGAAGCCAAGAGCTCAGACCGCTTATGACAAGCCACAAAAAACAGCCCATGTCTCCTTCTTTGCAATGTGATGGTGGGTAGATGCAAGAAAAGGTATTTACACGGCACAGACAGGATGTGCTAGATTATACCGCTTCAGTTCTGCTCCTATGTGCTGGGCGAGAGACATTTGAGAAAGCTACATTTGAGAAAGAAATATAGATTTGTGTGTCGTGGGAGGGAACACAATTTGGGAATGAGCATGCCAAATCCTTTTTTCATAGGGTCCAGTTTTGTGATGTGCATTGCAAAATAGATTTCCCTGCAGTCCAGAAGGAAGGAAGGAAGGAAGGAAGGAAGGAAGGAAGGAAGGAAGGAAGAAGACGAGTTTTTGCCAGCAAGAAGCAGCCTTGGGAAGACTTCTGGGGGATGGATGCTATCTCAAGATTAGTACAGTGGTACCTCAGGTTAAATACTTAATTCATTCCGGAGGTCTGTTCTTAACCTGAAGCACCACTTTAGCTGCTGCGCCACTGGAGCCCGATTTCTGTTCTTATCCTGAAGCAAAATTCTTAACCTGAAGCACTATTTCTGGGTTAGCGGAGTCTGTAACCTGCAGCGTATGTAACCTGAAGCGTATGTAACCCGAGGTACCACTGTACTGCTTTGTCTAGATGCTTTGTCTACTTCGTGTTCCTTAAAGTTGTATATTGGAACATATACACACTCATTCACACTTGAAACAAGACATGAACCAGAACATACTCATCTTTTAAAACTTCCACTTCTCTGAATTTTGCAATGCAATTTTCCAGCCAAGTGATATGTACAAGGCCGCATATACTAGGACAAAGCCTGCATAAAAATACATACATGGTGGAACTGATGTACAAAAATGCATTATATTCGGCAAAAATCACATACAAAAAGGTATATCAGGAGAAATTTGCACTAAAATGCTGATGAATTTTCTTTTTTTTAAAAATAATTTTTATTAAAGTTTTGAACAACAAAGAAAGAAAAGAAAAACATACACAATACATATAACAAAAACACAAAAAAGCAAGATTCAACAATAAAAGAACAAAAAACATAACAATTAAAAACAATATCTCTTTTCCATTTCCGTTTTTTAGTTACTTATTTTCTGGACTTCCTCATACCTCCCTCTTTTGTATTCCAATCCAAATTGTTTGTCCAGCAATTTCTTTTCCACTTTTTAATCCCAATCTTTAGCTTTAATAAGATATTGAAATATATAACTTCAACTTCTTTAAACCTGATCTTTGGTCTTAGTATCATATAACGTTAAAATTTTTCCTCTTAATATCAAATTTCCATTTCTTTAAACATCTTTAATCCTAATCTTTAATCTTAGTCTATCATTAACTTTAACCTGTACAGCTGGAAACCGCTTATTTTCAGTCCAACATCACTCTAACATTCTTTAATTTTGCAATGTTTCTGAAGATAGTCTTTGAATTTCTTCCAATCTTTCTCCATCGACTCTTCTCCCTGGTCACGGATTCTACCAGTCATTTCCGCCAATTCCATATAGTCCATAAGTTTCATCTGCCATTCCTCCAGCGTGGGAAGTTCTTGTGTCTTCCAATACTTTGCGATGAGTAAAAATGCTGATGAATTTTCATGAGGATTAGAATTTTTTTCACAAACTGATGTGGAAATGTGGAGAGCTGAATTTATGATGGGAACAAATGAGAAAAAGACATTGACAAATTCGTCTCTCCCTAGTCAGGAGTCTTTGGAAGGAAAGGGCTGGTGTTCCAAGTGCTTCCAGGTCAGGCTAATGAACTGTATCTGGTTTGTTATCTCCGCATGGAGATGAATCTGGACATTGTCAAACTGAAGGCTGTGTACATTTACAAAGGCGTCTGCACAATGTCACCCAGAAAGCTGTTGGGGTCAAAGTGGATCAAGGCATTGGAGGAAGAAGTATAGGGGAGCTGTATTCCCTCCTCCCTTTCAGCCATGAAGTTGGGCACCTTAATGATTTACGGGAAGAGCAGACCCTTCTGATAGGCTCCTCTTAGGAGCAAAGAAGTTTTATCAAAGTCCAATCTCCCTCTCTCTGCTCCCGATTTTAAAAAAGGGGCCAATCAGTCTTGGTTCAGGTATGGCTGATCTTTCCAGAGCCCCAGCAAATAGTAATGACAGATCCCTCAATAGATCATTTTCTTTGTGAATTAACGTAGTGACCGATGTAACATTGCTCTAGCATTGCATCTCACTTCCTGCACAGACTAGTAGCCCCAGTCCAGCCCTGTTAACAGCATAAGTAGCTAAATACAAAGAAAGTAAGCTGGAGCCTTGGTTCAGGGGTCCGCCCACTATCTTCCATTTGCTCCTTTCATAAACACCAATTCCAATTCCAATTCCATAAACACGAGGATAGGATGAATTGTCTTCCCCACCCTTGAGTGGGTTTTTGATACCATGGAAAGTAGACAATTAGAATAATTACTGACAATTGCTTTTAAAGGTAGAGGGTAAAGGGACCCCTGACCATTAGGTCCAGTCGTGACCGACTCTGGGGTTGCAGCGCTCATCTCACTTTATTGGCCGAGGGAGCCAGCGTACAGCTTCCGGGTCATGTGGTCAGCATGACTAAGCCACTTCTGGTGAACCAGAGCAGCGCACGGAAATGCCGTTTACCTTCCTGCCAGAGCGGTACCTGTTTATCTACTTGCACTTTGACGTGCTTTCGAACTGCTAGGTTGGCAGGAGCAGGGACCGAGCAACAGGAGCTCACCCCGTCACGGGGATTTGAACTGCCGACCTTCTGATCGGCAAACCCTAGGCTCTGTGGTTTAACCCACAGCGCCACCCGTGTCCCGTCAACAATTGCTTTTACCAGGCTGTAAATGTCCCCTGTTCTTGCATTCATTATTATCCAGACCCGATCCTCTTCTGAAGCAAAGGCTCAGTGGGAGAGCATCTACTTTGCATGCAAAGGTCCCAGGTTCCATCCCCAGAATCTCCAGGTAGAACTAGGAATGCCTCCAATCTAAACCTCTGGAAGATTACTGCAAGTCATGCTGTAGACAGTCTGTACTGATCTAGATGGAGTTATGGTCTGACTTGATATGTCAGCTTCCTGTGTTCCTAAAGGGATTTGTGTCTTTGGCATACAGACCTAATACATAGACATATTTATTTGTCACAAGCGACAGTCAATTAGGATATAGAAGTTATGAGATAGCCAGGAAGACAGAATAATGCGGTTTTGAAGGAAATGCCAACCTGTCCTTCCTAAATGGCACTCCTACTAGGAAGATACAATGATTGCTGGTTCTCATCTACCTCAAAAGCTCTCTCTCTCTGATTTATTGCAAGCTTGGTCCCTGGTGCTATAAAACGAAATGATTCTTCTCACCACTAATTTCTGTGTAATTAGATCACTGCTGGTGTGGAAAAATGGGCAGCACTGGAACGACCCCACAACCACACTCTGACATGTGTGATAGGGAGTCAGAAAGATTCTGGCACCTGTACAGGCTGGGGAGCTGGTACCTGTGTGTAGATTTCACAAAATCCTGTCTATCTCAGACAGCTCTTCACACACACACGCACACACACACACACTATAGTGACTTTATTTCCACTCCACCCCCCCTGAAGTTCCCAGTGGTCTCCCATCTAAAACACTGATCAGGTCCATACAAAGTTAGCTTCAGCTGTTCTATAGTCTCCCGTGTTCCTAAACCAAGCAGCATGGTGAGATCTGATGGAAACTGTTGACAAGCAACATCTGGAGGTCCACAGGTCTCCCAAGCCTCTCCTAGACCAGTCACTGGGGCCCATAGAAGTGCTATTTAAACCTAGGTATAAAAAAAGGTAAAGGACCCCTGACAGTTAAGTCCAGGCGCAGACAACTCTGGGGTTGTGGCGCTCATCTCGCTTTACAGGTTGAGGGAGCCGGCATTTGTCCGCAGACAGTTTTCCGGGTCATGTGGCCAGCATGACTAAGTTGCTTCTGGTGCAATGGAACAGCAAAACCAGAGTAGCACAGAGAAACACCGTTTACCTTCCCGCCAGAGTGGTACCTATTTATCTACTTGCACATTTTTTTTTGCTGTGCTTTTGAACTGCTAGGTTGGCAGGAGCTGGGACCGAGCAACAGGAGCTCACCCCAGGGGATTCGAACCGCCAACCTTCTGATCAGCAAGCCCACGAGGCTCAGTGGTTTAGGCCACAGTGCCACCCATGTCCCTACACCTAGGTATAAACACATGCATATCCTTGTTCAGAGGCATTAAAAAAAAGTTTTATTTTTTATCAATAAATTGCTTGTGTTGTAAAAACTATAACAACTTTTCTGAAGCATCAGAATATCCTGCATAAGGAGCACTCCTGCATGTTAGCACATAGTTCATTTTTCCCCAGTGCTTAGAGACATTCTCTCTCACACATTGAGCGTACTTGTTCTCAAGCAACCACTAACCAACCATATTCTAGAATGGCAGAAAACTCCAAAAGCAGCTTTCTTGCAAGGAAAGTACAAAGTGTAAGGTCAGTTGCCTTGTAAGGAAAAGTACCCAGGAGGAGATCTAAGGTGCCATTTGGAATTTATTTGCAAAGATATAGGTTTCCACCGTTGCAAAAAGTTTAGGAATGACTCCTGCAGACAATATAAAATCCTTTGGCAGAGGGAACAGAGCCGATTCCCCTGTTGATTGCAGTGCATGTCGAACACAACTGCCAACCTGATTTTGCCTCTGCTTTGACTCCACTGAGTCAACCAGCTGAAGGAGCGACTTTGGGCAGAGTTCACTCTGATTTTTTTGTGGATTTAAAAATAAATAAAAATGTAAGGCCAAATACCAGTAGCTATGACTCATTTTCAAAGGTATTTTCCAGATAATCAGTAGCTCAACATGTATTTCTTTTTTTTTCTTATAATGATATTTATTAAAGTTTCACAAAAATACATGAAAATACAGAATACAGAAAGAAAAAGAATAAAGTTTTTAAAGATACAACCAAAAAGTAGAAAATAAAAAAAACCCACAAAACATACAAAATAAGACAGTTAAAAACACAATAATGTTCCATAACCTATCTTCCTTACTCTTATTTCCCGGACCTCCTCATACCTCCCTTCTTTGTATTCCAGTTCAATTTGTTGGTTCAGCAAATCCTTACCATTAATCTTTACCCAATTATTAACCTATTTTTCCATATCTCCTAAAGCATTACAGCTAAAAACCTCTTAGTTTCTATCCAACATCCTTCTAAAGTTCCTTAATTTTGCAATATTTCTGTAAATAGTCCTTAAATTTCTTCCAGTCTTCTTTCACCAACTCTTCTCTCTGGTCTCGGATTCTGCCAGTCATTTCCGCCAGTTCCATGTAGTCAATCACCTTCATCTGCCATTCTTCCAAAGTGGGTAGATCTTGTGTCTTCCAATACTTTGCGATGAGTATTCTTGCTGCTGTTGTAGCATACATGAAAAGGTTCTATCCTTCTTTGGCACCAGTTGGCCGACAATGCCCAAGAGAAAGGCCTCTGGTTTCTTCAGAAAGGTATATTTAAATACCTTTTTCAGTTCATTATATATCATTTCCCAGAAAGCCTTAATCTTTGGGCACGCCCACCAAAGGTGAAAGAATGTACCTTCTGTTTCTTTACATTTCCAACATTTATTATCGGGCAAATGATAGATTTTTGCAAGCTTGACTGGGGTCATGTACCACCTGTATATCATTTTCATAATATTCTCTCTTAAGGCATTACATGCCGTAAACTTCATACCTGTGGTCCATAACTGTTCCCAGTCAGCGAACATAATATTATGTCCAACATCTTGTGCCCATTTAATCATAGCAGCTCAACATGTATTTCAGTAAATCTACTGAGATTTTGTAATAATAATATAATAAATTTTTATTTATACACCGCCCTTCCCAGTTTAAAAAACGGGCTCAGGGCAGCTAACAGCAAATTTAAAACATTGATTAAAATGCGACTTGAAAACAGCATAAAACATCATATAATACAACATAAAATGCAGCATCAATATCCATAACATTCAAAAATTCAGAGGTCATTTTTTTTGGGGGGGGGGGACCCAGTCAGTAGACATCGAATAATCACCAGGCTAACAGGCCAAGTTGGTACTACTAGGGCCAGCAAGGAGGTGTGTGAATAAGAATTTAAATGTGGGGTCCCAGAAAGGGTTTCTTCATAGAAGAGGAAAGGGAAAAGGGAATAGAGGATCAGAATATTCAAATTGAAGGCCAGGCGGAATAGCTCTGTCTTACATGCCCTGCAGAAGGAGATCAAGACTTGCAGGGCCCTAGTCTCGTGGTACAGAGCATTCCACCAGTTCGGAGCCGTCACTGAAAAAGCCCTGGCCCTAGTGGAGGATAGTCTGGCTTCCTTAGGGCCCGGGACTTTTAAGCTATTATTGTTCATGGATCTTAAGGTCCTCTGCGGGACATACCAGGAGAGGTGGTCCCGTAAGTATGAGGGCCCTAGGAGATGTGGCCGCATAGGGCTTTAGTAGATGGGCACAAACTTATATCTCACTGACCTTCAAGCTTGTTGGGACGCCTTGTGTTTAACATTGTCTGTTGGGCCCAGTGGTGTAGCATGAGTTGCCAGTGCCCGGGGCCATGCAGACAAGGGGGTTGGCAGGGAAACAGATGGAGTCCGCATGCACATTCAACTGTCTAACGGTGTCCGCGTCACCCAGGAGATTGCAGCTGCAGAGATAACAAAAGAAGAGTCGTTCTGTTTTCTGGAGAGGTCACTTCCTGGTTCTCATGGTGAAGCCGTTTTCATTGGAGCCCAGTGATGTGTGCAGCTGTATTGAGGCAGCACCAGGTGTTGAAATTTTGCGTCCCTAAAAGATTTGCGCCTGGGGCAATCACCCATGTGGCCTCCCCCCACGCTATGCCACTGGTTGGGCCTACCTAGTAAGTAGCTTTCAGTCTGGGAGCCTCTCTGAGCTTGTGATGCTGATGCAACAAACTGAGAGAAGAAGGGTTGGAGAAGGAGGAACGAGGAACCCACAGGTCCTCAAGAAAAAGTTGGAGCCTAGGAACCCACAGAAAGAGTTGATTCCTGTCCTGCACTATTTTTCCTGAACTAACAGTGAAGCATCTCTTATAAGAAAAAAAAATGCTCCTTTTCCCTCATGGGGTATCTAAGAGTCCTTAAGTGGGTTCCCTATCGGTCAGAGAAAATAACAAGAGGCCAACCAGAGTATATTGAGAAGCAAAGCGGCTAGTAATCCTGATCATAGCTGTCAACCTTCCCTTTTTTTGCAGGAAATCCCCTTATTCCAGCGCTGCTTCCCGCTGCTATCCCGGATTGTTAGATATCCTGTAGACTGTCCCTGGGACAGGTGAGGCTGCTGATCCCTTATTTTCAAATCTGAAAGTTGACAGCTATGATCCTGATCTTTATTAACTGTTGCAACAGGGTCCCCACTCACCACACGCAGGAGGGAGGAGAGATCCCAAAACAATGGTGCGCAAGCCCTTATATAGACTTCTGAAATTGCCCACCCTGTAGCTCAAGACCACCCCCCAAAACATCATACATACGTCACAGAAGGACGTATTTTCTGTCCGCAGCAGAAATACATCACAGAAATCCTTTCTGCCAGGATACCTCACAATGGTCACTGATTGCTTTACCTGGGCAGCCTGGCCTTTCTTTTGTGATGGTAAATACTTTAATTCCTGAATCCAGGTCACGGGCTTATCCTATTCATACACAAATACGATCTTAAGATAGGCAAGCAAAAGACAATGAAGAGGCTTTCCCATTTCCTTCCTTGCAGAGAAATATTTCAGGTCAGTATGGGAGAGCAGTGGCGTAGCGTGGGGGGTGCAGGGGGGCCCGGCTGCACCGGGCGCAACATCTGGGGGGGGGCGCACTCGCATTCGCAGCTCTCTGCCCCTACCTGGCTCGCTCACTCTCTCTCACTGCAGTGCTGGCTGTGCGAATCCGATCCGAGCCGCTGGGTCGCCGCCCACTGTGGAGGGGTTGGGTGCCAGGCGTGCGGTGCGGAGAGAGAGCGAGGGACTATCTGGGGGAGGGACAGTGCAGCGGCTGCCCAGCGCTGAGCGCGGGAGAGAACCACACCAGACCAGACCAGGCAGCAGCAAGAAGAAGCTGGCAGCGGCGGCAGGTTAGGGGATAGGGGGCGCAAATTACTTGCCTTGCCCCGGGTGCTGACAACCCACGCTACGCCGCTGTGGGAGAGTCAGAATGGCTTCAGGCTTGCTCTCCTGTACTATTTAAGACATGTGGTTTATATACTTACGTATGTGTTTGCCTTGTGCATTTATAACTTTTATTTCATATTTGGGACCTTAGAATTCTTATAAGACATCACTGTAAGAACTTAGCAGAACCAGGGCTAAGTTCTGCAGAAATGCGGAGACACTCAAGGGCAGAGGAGAACTGTAGATGCTGGAGAAGCTTTTTGAGGTTCATTTTCTGGCTAGGATAAGCACAAGCCGTGGTCTGTGTCTGACACTGTACAGGGATGTTTTTAGTCAGGACAGGGGAGGGGAGAGGTTATATTGCATTCATTGTTTTTTACCCATACTTTTGACCTCATAGTCCACAAACACTCAAACAATAATAGCAAATGGTGTCAGGAGTCGTCCCATTTGCTCGGTGAGCTAGGAGTGGTTGGTACAGAAAGTCTGCCTGCTGGCCCTTTGGGGCTGGATTCAGAGAAATATTTGCCTGGGGGAGCCAGTGTGAGCCCTGCTAACGTACGTTTCCGAGCACAATTCAAAGTGTTGGTGCTGGCCTTTAAAGCCCTAAACGGCTTCAGTCCAGTATATCTGAAGGAGCGTCTCCACCCCCACTGTTCTACCCGGACACTGATGTCCAGCGCTGAGGGCCTTCTGGTGGTTCCCTCACTGCGAGAAGCCAAGTTACAGGGAACCAGGCAGAGGGCCTTCTCGGTGATGGCACCCGCCCTGTGGAACGCCCTCCCACCAGATGTCAAAGAGAACAACAACTACCAGACTTTTAGAAGACATCTGAAGGCAGCTTTTAATGTTTGATGCGTTACTGTATTTTAATATTTTGTTGGAAGCCACCCAGAGTGGCTGGGGAAGCCCAGCCAGATGGGCGGGGTATAAATAAGAAATTATTATTATTATTACTACTACTACTAATGCTTTCCCCTTCTTGTCCCCTACATCCACTGCACACTCCCCACAAGAATTGGCTATGAGGGGTTAGAGAACCCCCAGAATAACGCATGGAGGGAGGAGAGGGGAGATCGTTCTACCAGGCAAGCAGAAATACTTGTTCCGACAGAGCAATCTCTCTTGTGCTACTTTGAATTCCACCCATTGACTGCTATGTAAAACAGGCCAGTTTAAGCCAACAGCTTAACAGGTAATTTTGGTGAAAACCAGACGAGAGATTCCAGTACAGGTAGCAAATGTTTGATGAGGCAGCAGGAATAGACAGACAAATTTCAGGACAAGAGATCTTTCAGGCCATTGGATTGTGCTGTTCGATACTATATTATAGATAAGAGCTATTGACTTCTATGGTGAGTATGGCCACTGATATGGAATGTAAGCATGGAGCAAAGCATGCTTTGTGCTACAGTGGTGCCTCGCAAGACGAAATTAATCCGTTCCGCAAGAGTCTTCGTCTAGCGGTTTTTTCGTCTTGCGAAGCAAGCCCATTGACGGATTAGCGCTATTAGCGCTATCAGCTGTTTAGCGGCTATTAAAGGCTTAAAGGCTTAGGGGATTAGCTGCTAAAAGGCTATTAAAGGCTATTAAAGGCTTAGCAGATTAGATAAAGGGGGAGGAAAGCGAAAAAAAACCCTCAAGACTCGTAAGGTATTTTCGTCTTGCGAAGCAAGCCCATAGGGGAATTCGTCCTGCGAAGCAACTTCAAAACGGAAAACCCTTTCGTCTAGCGGTTTTTCCGTCTTGCGAGGCATTCGTCTTGCGGGGCACCACTGTATTTGGATTTTCTTCTTTAAGTGTGGGATGTCGGAAGGAGATTTTATACAGCTGGAAAATCTGCTTTAAAAAAAACACACCGCATCCATTTTTAAAAAAATATAAAATACAAGAGTTAGTTCCATCTCCAGCCTTAATTTAGAACACGCAGGTCCCTTAGGAGGCAGGGAGCAGAAATAAAGATAAGCACAGCAGCCTTTATATTGGCATAGCTGGATATTAACTTTTAAGTGGTACATGAGGGAGAGGACAGGCTTTCTCCAAAGCCTTTGCAGCCCATATTATTATCTTCCCCATTTTACAGACAGTGGGTTATAGGGGTGGATTTTTGCTTAGAGAAAGCAGACCATTCAGGGAATGCGTGCTTGATGATAGGTTTGGAGGCATCTCTCCAGACTCTTAGCTCACCCTTAATGTATCAGATCAAATGTAACCAGCCATTAATGTCCTCGTGCAGCTATTAACCCAAGCTGCAATCCAGCGAACAGTTTTGTGTAGTAGGTACGTTGTACCGAAATCAATGGAGCTTATCTGTTTTACTCAAGTATAAAGCAGCACATGAGTGGCTGCCTGTGGTCTGTTATTGCCAAAAGGTAGCAGGGGAAACTGAGGCAATAGTGTACATGTGTGTGCATGTGCATATGTAACCCAGGTTAAAGGAGGCCAGCTCCTTTGTTCAGTCTTCTTGTCGTTTTCCTTCCCCTCCCTCTGACCTGGATTTGCCAGGCTGCACTGCACAAGCTGTATAGAAGGACCCTCTAGTACTTTTACAACCTCGGTCATAAAAAAGGCCATCAACTCAAACTAAGTAAATATACATATACTGTACATATGCATTAAAAAAGTGGATAGGAATTATACAGCTGCCAAGGGTTTATGCTTTGAGGGGAGTGAACCTCTCTGGGTAGGTAATTGGTTGGAGCAGAAGTAATGGCGGAGAATTCATCTCCATAAACTTTCCCCAGCTAATTTATCGGGAGAAGCCAAGCACATTTCTCAAACTACAGTGCATCATGCTCATCAGGCGCCCAAACCGAAGGGTGGCCACGTTGACAAAATGCACAAGCGGCCGTTCTATTTATTTATTTAGGAAACACTATAAACCACGGGACACGGGTGGCGCTGTGGGTTAAACCACAGAGCCTAGGACTTGCCGATCAGAAGGTCGGTGGTTCGAATCCCTGCGACGAGGTGAGCTCCCGTTGCTCGGTCCCAGATCCTGCCAGCCTAGCAGTTCGAAATCACGTCAAAGTGCAAGTAGATAAATAGGTACCGCTCTTGCGGGAAGGTAAACAGTGTTTCTGTGTGCTGCTCTGGTTCGCCAGAAGCGGCTTAGTCATGCTGGCCACATGACCCGGAAGCTGTATGCTGGCTCCCTCGGCCAATAAAGCGAGATGAGCGCCGCAACCCCAGAGTCGGTCATGACTGGACCTAATGGTCAGGGGTCCCTTTACCTTTACCTTATAAACCACTTGATCCAAAAGGGAGCTGGAAAGCAGACAGAAATGTCAGCCCGTGCATCAGTCCATCTGGAGGGTTGGCTTGGGGGAGTGTCCCTTAGCAGCATTGCCCAGAAGTATTCTGGTGTATGGTTTCGGCTTCTTGTTTTTAGGGTTGCAGGCAGGGAACTAGGAGTGCAGAGTTCAGTTCTTTACTGAGCGCTGTGATAGGAATTTTATGGTTTTAGATATATGGCAACGTTCATAACCACACGTACATAGATCAGCACAGGAAAGCCAACCTGGAACCATTTTGATTCCTAAACTGAGCAAATGTTTCTCTGCATGGTAAAAATGGAAAAGCCTCCCCATTGTCTCTTCCTTCACAAATCCTGTCTTAATCTGTGTTTGAATAAGGGTGTGAGCCTTATCATTACAAAAGACTGCCAAGGCTCCCCAAGAAATCCAATCAAGTAACCTGCCAGACAGGAAATAAACAAAGCGACAGGAGAAAACAACATGCAAATGTTCTGTTTTAGACCGCCTTATCTGAGGGGTGGTCTTAGGTTACACCCCTTCTGTGATGAATGCATAATGTTTCTGGGGGTGGTCTTGATCTAGAGGATGGGAATTTCAAAAGTCTTTATAAGCCCTTGCACAGCATTTTTGTGGGTCCTCTTCCTCTCCTGTGTCTGAGGGGAGCACCCTGTTGCAACAGATTAATAAAGATCAAGCTTACTAGCTGCTTTGCTTCTCAATATTCTCTGGTTGGCCTCTGTTATTCTCTCCTACCAATAGGGAACCTATGTAAGGACTCTATATGGGCTCTTGGATACCCCATAAGGGAAAAGGGCATATTTTTATTTACAACAGCGCCCATCTGCCCTGGGCAGTCTGTAACTGGTGAAAATGGGGTCGGGGGGGGGAGCATGGTAAGCACAAGAATGTCAAGAGTAAAGGATGCCTCTTCTTGAAAGTTCCCTCTCTGGTTCTTTTTAGCGTAGGGCGGAAGCAAGAGGTCATATTTTAAAGTGAAGCCTGTTAAGTATAATTGTTTAATGTGTATTGCGGTGGGAAATCTATAATGTGTCTGTACTGTAATGCTGTGAAGCATGGTTGGTAATTTCCATGAAGTTAGAGAAGAGCCTACCAGGTTCATCATTAATGGGGCTGTCTCACGGGACTGTATCTGTGTGGATCAGTCACAAGGTAATTAGCTCACAGTCACATGAAACAGATAGTATTTCAGGTCTATGTATGGTAAGCTGGTAGTCATCCACGTTGGGTGCAGTGCCTCTTTGTTCTAAGCCTGGCCCTCCAGATGTTTTGGGCTACAATTCCCACCATCCCTGACCACTGGTCCTGTTAGGATCATGGGAGTTGTAGGCTAAAACATCTGGAGGGCCGCAGGTTGGGAATGCCTGTTCTAAGCTGTTGAAGAGAATGTATGTCATTCTCTGTCTCCAGCAAAACAGCCTGAGGCTAAAAAAAGCTGCAACGGAGAAGAGATGGAGTTTTGATTTTCGCTCAGAATGCAAGATATTTATAATCTACATTATTATGACTTATGCTGGAACCAGTGTAAGAGATACACAACTAAGTGAATGTGTTTTTTATTGTTTCAAGTTGTTTTGAAGTTATGTTCTGTGAGTCTCTGAACCACATTTTTGGACTGGATAATTTTTATTTCAATACAAGGGCCAGTTTTTGTTTATCCAGCAGCTTCGACCTGTGCAATAGTAGTGATCTCATTAAAGTCATAATAGAACCGTTTGCATGTTCCATGTGCTGAAATCCTGGGTAAGCAGCTGCCCTTCAGAGAGGGGCTGTGTGGCTCAGTAGCAGTAGCATCTGCCTTTCATGCAAATGGCCCCTGCTTCAGTCCCCAGCATCTCTGCCCAGTGATGGGAAGCTTCCATGTCTGAAACCTCAGAGAGCCACTGCACCGGTGAGTGTAGACCAACTTGGGTCTCTAGCTGTTTTGGACTACAATTCCCATCATCCCTGAACACTGGTCCTGCTAGCTTGGGATGATGGGAGTTGTAGTCCAACAACAGCTGGAGACCCAAGATTGGGAAACGCTGCTGTAGACATTCCTGCGCTATATGGTCCAGTGGTCAAACTCAAGAATAAGGCAGCTTCCCATGTCCCCCCCGACTGTTGCTTTCTCCCTGGCCACATGACCCAGAAGCTGTATGCCGGCTCCCTTGGCCAATAAAGCGAGATGAGTGCCACAACCCCAGAGCCGGCCACGACTGGACCTAATGGTCAGGGGTCCCTTTGCCTTTTTAGCCAAGCACAGACAGATTTACAAATTCACGTGTTTGTTTGTGTGCATGCACATGTGTGTGTGACAAATTCCAAAAGGGCCATCCTGCTAGGCTGGCGTAGATTGCAATGGATTGCCTTGAAGTCACTGAAATTGAACTTAATTTGTTAAAATGTATGAAAACCAACAAAAAAATATGGGGGGAAAAGAAGTCACTTAAGCACCAAATGAAAATAAATTGTCCCCAAACCACCCTGTATTTTGCCAGAACAAAGGTGGCAACCCTACCTTGTTTTTCCATCCACTTTTGCCTCTGATCGCAGCCACCCCTGGCAAGTGGCCTCCCTGAGGGCAGCCCAGAAAGGAATGCAGCCTTGCATCCTCTTGTTGGCATTAACACTCTCTGCACACTCATCCTTGAGTTGGCTTCCTGGAGGTCACGATGAGCCTGCCAGTTTGGGGCTGTGCTCTCTCATACCCATAAATCAGTCTTGCTTTTTTTTTTTTTTTGTACTCTCATTTCACTGCCATCTCAAGCCACTGCTCCCTCATCCCTGACTCTGGGAACTAAACTCTGCAGATGTGAATTAAGCTGCTTCTCTGCAGGTGAGGTCCCCTTGGAGCTCTGATCCAGAGAGGCCCACTGTGGGAGTTCGCAGCCTCAAGGAACGTGAAGCTCAATACACCAGCTGGAGGCAGTTCAGATGCCTCATAGCTGGGCAGAACCCGGCACTGAGAAGCCTTAAAGGACAGAAGGTGAAAAGTAACCAGAGAAATGACGAACAACAGATGGGCCAGGCCCCTACTGGGCAGATACCAGCTGGGAAGATTTCTGTGGCTCAGGAATATTAGTTCTAACATCTGCAGCCCATATTCTTGGAATGGAGACCTGGCCTAGAGGAATAAGCCCTAAGTGGGTTAAGACTTCCCTGCAGGGGCTGTTAAATTTAGTCACAGTGATTTACTTAGTTACCCTCAGAGGAATTATTTCACTGGGTTTGGGGGATCACTTCTTGAACTTGTGTAATTCTACAGTTGCTGCCCTTTCTTTCTTAAAGTGAATTGATCATGCCAGGGTGACGGAGCCATTTAATCCACTTTAACTGTCCAAAGCTAAAGTTACAGTATGCGCTTTAATCCCATCTGCAAAACCTTGGCAGTCTGGATGCACCTTTAAAATATTCCCATGTCCAGAAGCGCTGGTGGGCATATAAGTGAACTTTCAAAGAGAAAGAAAAATAAATCGGCAGGCGGGTGACGCTGACAGGGCTTCTCCACTTTCCAAGCTGTTTCTTGCTCTCTTCTTTACCACCGCCCTGAGATGAGAGCTGGGTTGCAGTGCAGCCCAATGGCAAATGTCCTGGCAACTGCAGTGGCATTAAAATGGTGAGAGAGGGCTTCAACTATACTCTCCCGTTGCACACACCAAAAGGAGTAGGTCCTTTTGCTCTTCCACTCAGCATCCTCCTCCTCCTCCCCACTTCTGCACCCTGTAGTCATGCCACTGTACTAGTTAGTCTCTCTGTTTCATTAACTCCCCGCATTAAGAATTGCCTTTATCCAGGTGGTTTACTGCTCCTTTACGATGCTTTACAAGATGTTCTATTGAAGCTGCCCTCAATGTTTTTGCTGAAACATGCGAGCCTGTGTGTGGATATTGATATATGAGCATTCATGCAAGTATGCCATAATTGCTGTGCTTTTGTTTGCCTGCAGTGGAAGGCGTCAGAGGGGGGTGACAATAGAAGCCAAGATGGGGAGACGAGGACTCCAGTATCTCCTGCAGCTTTGTCCAATTGCTTCTGTCATCGGTCCCTGTTGGAGCACCAAGGAGTTCTCTGCGGCTGTCTTGCAGCTTAGGGAAATCATATAATGCTAACACTCAAAAGATGCTGTAAGCATCTCTTTTCTTTTAATGTTCAAGGCATGGCTGTTCCAAAACATGGGCTAGTTCTGAGCATTAGTTCTGCTTCGGGGGTAGAATGATGATGCTCGAAGGCTGCTTTCAGACAGGTGGCTCCTAGCGCTATCCAATCATTGGTCTTCCATTGTAGGCAGAATTGCGATTGATTTGCAACACCATTGGGAGTATTGTGATTTTCCTATGTGTATATCCTGCTGTGTTCTGTCCAAAATGGTAGGCATGGCATAGCTGCTGTGGGTAGAGAATTTGAAACTCAGCACACATTCAGTAACCTTCGTGGTTTTATAGTTTATTTTTTTTAAAAATTATCTTTTAATTATCACCAAGACATATTCAACGAAGGAGCGGTATAGTGCTGTAACACTATTCTGATGTAATGCAGATTTTTATTATGGTGCTATAATGCTTTAACACCATACTACAATAATGCTATAACGCTATACCAGTCTATCATAAAAAACCAAAATCAGAACCCAGAACTTTTTGGCAATGAACAAATGAACTAACAAATACAAAACCAGGACTGTACAATATTGCCCAGCACATACAAATGTTGTAACACATAAGCACTGCATTGCAATAGGATTACTTTCGTGATATGGCATTGCTCACATCAAAATCCTGCCATTTTGACTGGTCCTTTCTATATGTGCAATTTTTCACTTTTATTACAGTCTTTCTGCATGCGTCACTTTCTTGCAAACCTACTTTGTCATGAGTTCTGCAGCCCAAAGAATGCATACAGCCCTTCTTTCCATGGAAGAACGAGAGGGAGAAAGAATGCCCTGCAAACAGGGAACTAGTCACTGATGACGAATGGGATCTACTCACATAATTCTGCAGCTTGCAGTAAGAACAAAAGAAGAGCCTTGCTGGATCCCAGCAAGGGGCGATCTACTCCAGCACCCTCTTCTCACCATTGGCCAAACAGACGACAGTGAGAACCTCTAAGCATGCAGGACACAACCACAACAGGACAATTTACAGTCTATATTTGGTAGCATAGTTTACCTTCTACATTTGGACTAGGCAGAGGGAAGACAGCAGAGCGAGGAAAAGAAAGGGGAATATGAGCAACTACTGTTCTGTGTGCTTTGGGTTTCTTTCAACTGAGGATTAGCACTGAAAGGCTAAGGCAAAAGTTTCACAGAACAGGTGACGGTTGGAATCTGCTGGGGAAATGAAGATGTAAGTCTGGCTTTGGCATTTGGGCAAACCCGGCTAAAGAGAAAAATGAAAAGGAGACCCCCAGAAATATGTTAAATAAAGAGGTAGCCTTTAAGCATGCACAGAGTGTCTCTGCCTCACAACTGGATAAATACAGCCAGCTCCCATGGTTTCAAGGAAGAGTTCAAAGGTTAAAAAAAAGATACAAATTGTTATGCATCAAGCTTGACCCCCCCTCAGCACCTCTCTGTCTGGAAACTGACCACTAACAGCAATTCTCTGGGTGCCTACTCAGAAGTAAGTCCCACTGAAAGCAAAAGGGCTTATTTTCTTTTTTTTAAAAATGATATTTATTGAAGTTTCACATGAAAAGAGACATCTTAATAAAAAAAAAGAAATTTAAAAATAAAAAGAAAAATACACCATACAAAATATAAAAATAAAAAATAAAAAAACAGTTAAAAACAATTCCATCTTTTCATCACAACTTTTACATTTACTTATTTCCCGGACCTCCTCATACCTCCCTCTTTTGTATTCCAATTCAATTTATTTGACCAGCAATTCCTTTCCCTCCTTTTTAATCCCAATCCTTAATCTTAATATAATATAACATTAAATTTTAACCTATTAAAAGCCAATTTTCCATTTCTTTTAACTTTTTTAAATCCTAATCCTTAATCTTGATCTATATATAACTTTAAAGCCTGTGCAGCTAGAAGCCACTTAATTTCAATCCAACATCACTCTAACATTCTTTAATTTTGCAATATTTCTGTAAGTAATCTTTGAATTTCTTCCAATCTTCTTCCACCGACTCTTCTCCCTGGTCACGGATTCTGCCAGTCATTTCTGCCAATTCCATAAAGTCCAGCAAAAGGGCTTATTTTCAAGTATGAAAGCTAACAGCATGAAGTCACACAGTGCTTGCCTACTCGTAGGTAGGGGATGGGGGAGGAAATCGCTTTCTTAATTGAGAAAGTGCCTAATGTACATTTCTTGGACCAATATGTGAACCAAAATTCAGTTAGCCTTAGAAATGTACACTTTTCTGAATTTTTAGATGCAGTTCTCCAACTAAACATCTGAGAATGGGGAGGGAAGTGTTTAGCATCTCCCCCACCTTTCACCAGAGCCAGGTGCTGTGAGAGACCTGAGCAGTGGCCACCTAGTGAGGAAGTCCTGGCGTGTGGGACTAACATCTAGCTGCTTCAGCAGACACTTCTAGGCCAGGAGACTCAGCTGCAGAAAGGCGTTTGTTAGAACACCAGAGAACAAGGTGGAGAAACATATATACACTTTTGCCCCTCTGTGATGACTGTTGTCTCATTGTCTGTTCTATTGTGTTTTAAATATACAGTAAGCCACTTTGAGAACTTCCCTTAGTGATCAGGGTATGCTACAAAAATGCCCGTGTTAGGAGGAAGAATTCACACCAAAGTGCTGACCAATTTTCACGAGGATTTAAAACAAAGAAACAAATCGCAAATTGCCGTGAAAATGGGGAGAACGGAATGGGAGCAGCGAGAACCCGAGAGAAGCAGAAATTGGCAGATTCTTCCATCCTTGCTCCTAGGTAAGTGAATGCAGGATTGCAGCCTATGTGTTAGTTATGTCCATTAATTTCAGCGGCTCTGCTCTGAGTCTAACTAACGTCGGATCCAACCCCTTGTTGCCAAGCTCCTCCTGTATGTCATTCAAGTAAATAATTTGTTGACTTGTGTAGCCTGTTGGCTGGTTGTCAGCCAGCACCTCATGGCTGAATTTCCCAGCTGGTCTTGCTTTGGATTATCACCCACATGGTAGCAGAGCCACAAACTGAACTAGATCACCCTTTCCGTTTTAATCCTGTTATTGGAAAATGGGAGTGTGACTAACAACCCCACCAGCAGCAGGAAGTCTCTCTCCTCCACCCCACGCAGGACAATCTCAGGACATATCCATGGAAAATGGTGGATTCTGCGGCAGTGAAAAGAGCAGGCTTTTTTCTTTTTCCAGCTTCTCCTGAATGCATTGTCTATGCTCCATTTAACTGACAGCAGCTCTCTTTTTGTTGAACAACATAAATAAGGAGCCGCTGAAGCACTGCTTGCTATGAACCCTCCACACAAAACCCTCCAGTGCCTCCAGATTCCTCTCAGAGAGAAGGAGGATTTTGTTTGTCATTTATAGGGAATGTGAACCGGGGAGCCGGGTGGGGTGGGGAGTTTTTGCTCCTCGTGGCCAGCAGGGGTCTCTAGCACATCAAGAATTGTGGCAAAAAACAGCCGAGGGAGACAAGGTTGGAAAAATCCACTTATTTTTCTCTGCTTCTGCCACATACAACGGTCGGCAGCAAATTGGAGGTGGAAGCTTCAAATCTCCTCCCTTCATGTGTGAAGGAGAGGGAAGCCTTGAGGTTTGCCATGACTTGTTCACAATCTATAGACGGCTAAAAAGACCCCCACGACCACCCCCAAAAGCCTGCTGGTGTCGGAGCAATCTGACCTTGACTGAGGGTGCTTCCCGACAGGGGTTTATTGTGGGATCCTGGCTTCCCCCCGCCCCCAGTATCCCCATGATGCCCTTGCCATCAAACTGCTAGCCTGTATCCCCACCCCTTCCCCATTTAATCTGGATTTTCCCTCTCCTTCCAGGGAAAATCTGATTGGTTAATGAAACAAACATCCAAACCTATTGCCAATGGCCCATTTGCAACACCTTAACAACCTGTGTTCAACTACTAACCCCCTGGTCTGGAAGCTGCCTAAATTAGCTGACAATTGTGCTGCACAGACCCACGATCCTCAGCCACCATCTCAAATGCCTTTTTAATGGTGCTGTAGTCTAAACCACTGAGCCTCTTGGGCTTGCCAATCAGAAGGTCAGTGGTTCGAATCCCCGCGAAGGGGTGAGCTCCCGTTGCTCGGTCCCGGCTTCTGCCAACCTAGCAGTTCGAAAGCTTGTCCAAGTGCAAGTAGATAAATAGGTACCTCTCCGGCGGGAAGGTAAATGGCGTGTCTGTGCGTTGCTCTGGTTTCACCAGAAGCGGCTTAGTCATGCTGGCCACATGACCCGGAAAAACTGTCTGTGGACAAACGCTGGTACCCTCGGCCTGTAAAGCGAGATGAGCACCACAACCCCAGAGTTGTCTAAGACTGGACTTAACTGTCAGGGGTCCTTTACCTTTACCTTTTTAACAAGGCACCTAGCTGACATGAGGCATTCTGCAAAAACAAACAAACATGATGACGATTTTTAGAGCCAAAAGAGTTGTCAACAGACTTACCAACATAAAAAGGCAAATGTGAAAAGCAAATAGAATGCAGAGAGAAAAGAGGGATAGTGGAAGATGATCAAGGGTGGAAATTGATGTTGCAGAAGCCACAGAGAGCTCCTGCAGGTGTTCTGTGCCCCTTCCACACTGCTTCCTTATAGTGGCTCAGTCCAGACAATCCTGTAAATGATGGTTTGGAGCCGTGGCAGGCCACACGTTTGCATGTCCTTTCCTTCACAATCGAGTCAGAAGCTCCCACTTCAGATCTGTGGCAAACCATTGCCTGCTGCTTCATCCAAATGCTGCGTTTCGTGCAGGATCATGGTTTGCGATGTGTTGCTTTCACAGTGCAATGTTTGCTGCCTTCGGTCAAGTTGGCCAAATGGAAATGTGAAGTGGAAGCTTCTAATCTCTTCCCCGCACATGCATGGCCCATTCTCATGCGTAACATCAGCATACAGCATCCTTGGGCAGCTGATGGGGCTGTTACCTATACCTGCTTTGGCCTTCCTTTAAAAAACAAGCGAACAGCTGATTCTGGGAACTGCAGATGGGGAGGCTGTAGCTCAGGGGTAACACGCATGCTTTTCAGTCAGAATGCCCAGGTTTCAATCCCTGGTATCTCCAGGTCAGGCTGGGAGAGAACTTCATCTGCAATTCTGGAGAACAGTCTGTGTTGACAATACTGTCAGGAGCTTGGCCTACACTCGAGTAGGACCCTGGTAGAGACACATGCCCGACTGGCATGTTCTCTCCCTCCTGGTCGATCGTTTGGGAGCTTCAAAAGCTGTCTTCTGCCGGAACATCACAGCGACCGATGACAACAAACATCAGCACACTTAGGGATCTGCAGAGTCTTCGCAGCTTGCGTAACAGACCTCAGCAACTCAGCATTTTGGCTAATCTACTTTATTTACATATAAACACACACGGAGCACTGCAATATGGCTCCCTCTCTCTCTCTAGCATCAGACAGCAAATAGAAAAAGGACAAAGGACAATAGCCCCACTTCACGGAACACAGAATCATAGAATCATAGAATCATAGAGTTGGAAGAGACCACAAGGGCCATCGAGTCCAACCCCCTGCCAAGCAGGAAACACCATCAGAGCACTCCTGACCTATGGTTGTCAAGCCCTGACATATGGTTGTCAAGCCTCACAAACATCCTGTTTCCGTCACTTCCCACTTTGTAGAGTCAAAACATACACCGTCATGTGATAGTCAACAATCCCATGACTGCAATCACAGAGCAGGAATTCTAACAAATACTGACCACTGATATAATTCGTTATAAAGCAGTTTCCTATGCTCCTAAATGTTTGGCAATGCTCCAGAATTATGAGATATCATAGGGGTAATTGTAGGAAATTAACATGGTGGTTGTGATGGCCTGGGAATCCGATTCAGAGGCTGAACCGGAGGAATCCCAGCCTGCACAGGAGTCCCCACCTCCAGGGCCGGCTGAACTGGGGCAGGGCCTTGATTCTGAAGCGCCTGCACCTGTGCCGGATCCTCAGGAGCAGGCACCAGGTGAATCCACTCTGGCTCCGGAGGTGGTTGAGGACTCAGTGCCTACAGGTGAGTCTCCCCTGGGTCCAGTAACCCTTCAGCCTCTCCTGAACTGCAGAGGCTCAGGGCAGAGAGGCGAAGGGAACTGGTTTCTCCCAGGAGGAGTGCTCGCCTTAAGGCCAGGAGAGGCGGGTCTCCTGGGGGCCGGGACCGCCCCTGGCCTCAGAGAAGATAAAGGCCAGTCAGCCCGGTCCCAGGTTGCGGGAGCAACATCGTTGATGAGCTGTTTCGGCCAGCATCCAGTCCTGTTCCCCCAGTGTTCCTGTCCCCGCCCGGCTTCCTGCTTCGGACCTCACCTCGCTCCTTGTGAACTGTTTCCAGACCAGTGACCCAGGACCGGACTTTGACTACGCCAACGGTAACCTTCCCCCCGGGACCAGCACAGTGGTTCTCCTCTGCCCAGTCCTGATTCAGAGCATTCCTACTCTGCTCAGGCCACACAAATGTAGGAGACGATCCACTAGAGATCCCTTTGCTGGGGCCACCTCAAAACTAAAGCTGGCCCTCCGCATTTCACACAACAGTAAACCATGGTTGGTCACAGTTAGGGATGGGAGGATCGATCAATTTTGGTTTTCTCAGTTTTGTCATTTTTTCTGACTCTTAAATTCAGTTCTCCATATTTCTGCAGCAATTTGGGATTTTCATTTTTAAAAGAACACCCTCATGGAAATCTTTCCTCATTTAAGTGCAGATTTCTCCTGAAGAACACATTTTTGTATGCAGTTTCAACTAATGTACACATTTTTGTAAGCAATGTATCCTGCTATAATGTCCCCCCCCATGTCCTTTTCACTAGTGTGTTCATTTTTATTTCCCCTAAATATATGCATTTTTGCAAGCATAGGTCGGTTAGAGAAGTACATCACAAATTTCAGATACGTGCGAATTTTTAAGGATGGTTGAGTTTCGGATTTCACATTGCTTCAGAAGGTGCAAATTTGATGAATTTGGCCTTAAATGCAAACCAAATGGAACCTCTCCCCCACCTGTAGTCACGGGGGGCTGATCCATTAGGGCAAAATGGGGCACTGCCCCAGCAACCTCTGTCTACCCTCGACCAGTCACTACCAACCTGCCTTCTTAAACCAAATCAGAGGGGTGGCTCTGGCTGTCACCTTCCTCCTCCTCCTTAGTCTCAGTGTTGCCTTTGTACAACTCAGGAAGGAGGAAGCTGGGAACACAACTAGAATTAATTAGTCCACCTGTCGCTGGCTCTGGCTCCACCTACTGGTGGCCTCCTACCTTCCGCCCTGCCAGTTTCAACAGGCACCAGCCAACACTGTTTGTCATTATGTCCAAATGCAGCCAACACCTAGTGTGTGATGTCGTTTGTCACTGCACTGTGCATTTTTGAAACAGTGTCTTGCTGTTGATGTTAACTGCTGCTGCAGGGTCCTTGATGGATAGGAAGTTGTGCCGCAGATATTTTAAATACTGTATTTTTCACTCCATAAGACGCACCAGACCACAAGACGCACCTAGTTTTTGGAGGAGGAAAACAAAAATATTCTGAATCTCAGAAGCCAGAACAGCAAGAGGGATCGCTGCGCAGTGAAAGCAGCAATCCCTCTTGCTGTTCTGGCTTCTGGGATAGCTGCGCAGCCTGCATTCGCTCCATAAGACGCACACACATTTCCCCTTGCTTTTTAGGAGGGAAAAAGTGAGTCTTATAGAGCAAAAAATACTGTAAGTACACCCCATGCTAGATGTATGATATAGAGACAAAGAACAGGATCATGCCACATTGACTGCCCCTGGTCTATAGAGCTATGGAAACAATCTCAGATCTGTAACTTTGATGCAGTACATATTACAGGGAAAAACCATGAATCTTCGTACATACATAACAGATACAGTACAGCCACAGTGCTGTGGAAGAGGACTAGGAGGATCTGTCTTTTGTACGATATGCGAAATGGCCCTCTGGGGTAAATTGGATATGACAGCAGCCGACCCTGCTCCTGTGGTGTGTGTGTGTGTGTGTGTGGTGTGTGTGAAGTTCACTGCCAATTAATCCCAGCAAAATGGAAGACGGGGATGGAGTGAGATGGGAAACTTCAAGCACAACATGAAACTTAGAAAACTGCCTTGTACAGAGCCAGCTCATTGTTCTATCTACCTCAGCATTGTCTACACTGACTGGAAGTGGCTCTCCAGGGTTTCATTTTTTTTTTTTTAAATAATAATTTGTATTGAATTTTACAATTTTATATTCCACACAATCACCATTATCACAAAAAACATGTATAAGCCCCAGTCCCCTGACTGACTTCCCTCAACTTCCCCTTCTGGTTCGTTAAATATTTATTTCTCCTGCCTGTTTTATTCTACTTTGATTTTATAATCTTTCACCTGAATATTATTACATTCTTATCATTTTTTGTACCATACTTCCCAAATCACATCTTACATTTTATTGTTTCCCCAAATGTTGCATCTTAGCTTTTGTCTTGTTTTCTTGATTGTAAATGTTTACTCAAATCCTGCTAGTGAGTCCACTTCTTTACAATATTTCTGTAAATACAACATGTACAATTCCCAGTACTTTTAAAAGTCTCCGTTGTCCTAATCTCTTAGTTTTCCAGTTAGTTTCACCATTTCGGCATATTCCGCCCGCTTTTCTTGCCATTCTTCTTTTGTTGGTGTCTTGTCGTCTTTCCATCTTTGGGCCAGGGCTCTCCAGGATTTCAGAGCAAGTTCTATTCCAGCCCTGCCTGGAGTTGCCAGGGACTGAACCTGGGACCATGCAAAGTAGGTACTCTACCAATGAACTACAGCCCTTCTCAGATGGGCTGGCTTTTTATGGTTTTGGGTTTCTCCCCTAGTAGGGTTCATAGAATTGTAGAGTTGGAAGGGACCCTGAGGATCATCTAGTCCAGGGGTCAGCAACCCTTTTCAGCTGTGGGCTGTGTGGACCGTGTGGTGGGCCAGAAGCTTAACATGAGTCAATGGTGTGATTCACCAGCAAAAAAAGAGAAGCTAATGCTATTCTAGGCTGCATCAGTAGTGTCCAGATCAAGGGAAGTAATAGTACCACTCTATTCTGCCTTGGTCAGGCCTTACCTGGAATACTGTGTCCAGTTCTTGGAAGGATATTAACAAGCTGGATAATGTTTCAGAGGAGGGCGACCAAGTTGATCCAGGGTCTGTAAGCCAAGTCTTATGAGGAACAGTTGAAGGATTTTTTTCAGCAGGGGGCCGGCCGGTCCACTGTCCCTCAGACCTTGTGGGGGGTTGGACTATATTTTTTTTTGGGGGGGGATGAATGAATTCCTATGCTCCACAAATAACCCAGAAATGCATTTTAAATAAAAGCACACTTTCTACTCATGTAAAAACACACTGATTTCCTGGACCGTCTGTGGGCCAGATTGAGAAGGCAATTGGGCCACATCCAGACCCCGGGCCTTAGGTTGCCTACCCCTGATCTAGTCCAGCCCCCTGCAATGCAGGAATATGCAGCTGTCCTATACAGAGATCGAACCTGCCAACTTGATGTTATCAGCATCATGCTCTAACCAACTGAGCTATCCAGGCTCCTGCTACCTTTCTGTGATCAATCAATCAATCAATCAATGGCTTTAAAATGGTTCTAGGGAAGGGCAGAAAGCATAGGCATGAGGAAGGGTCCAGTTGCCCCCTCCTACCCACTCATACTGTGCATTGAATCTCCCCTTCAACTCCCAGCTTTGCCGAGATTTGTTATGGCCCAGGTTGGATCAGGCTGTGTGGTGCCTAGTTGTTGCCTTGCAGTGAAGTCATATGCCTGTTTATTCAGATGTTACTCCCACTGTCTTCATTCTTGCTTTATCCTTAACTGAGTGTTTTCTGAGTGGCTGTAGCACTCTGCCCATTTACTTCGACATAAGTCAGTAGACACTTCTCTGAGTAGGCATGTATCCTTATAATAGGCATTTAAAAACTAGGACAATTTAAATGGTGAGAGGTGTGAAATTATTAAAATAGTTTAACAGTGCAGATTTTATAAAAATGCATGATCCTTGTGGTGGATCCATTAGAAAGAACTGTGGTGGATTTTGGAGTTACAGAACTAATCAAGAATTTAAGAACAAACAATGGGCAGTAATCTTCCTCTTTGGCGATCACTCGTAGCCGAGTAAGATTGTCTTTCATAAACACAGTTTTAACAATGAGTCCGTAAGTGACTGTGGAGGCCAATTCTGGATCCACACGTCCTTCCACAGTGGGGACGTTGGTTTCCGGGTGGGAGTTGATCACGGTGTGGATTTGCCAAGCGTGCCTTCCTCTTAGCACGTTACTCCCTTGTGTCCTGAGTTTGAGTGTCTTCAAAGCCCGTGACACCTTTGGTAATGGCTGTTCTCCAACTGGAGCGCTCGCAGGCCAGTGTTTCCCAGTTGTCAGTGTTTATACCACATTTTTAAAGATTTGCCTTGAGACAGTCTTTAAACCTCTTTTGTTGACCACCAGCATTATGCTTTCCATTTTTAAGCTCGGAATAGAGTAGTTGCTTTGGAAGACGATCGTCAGGCACCTGCACAATGGCATAACTGTGGGCTTGTTCACATTTGTACTTGTCCCATTCCTAGAAAGCATGGGGTCAAATGGTTTTTCACTTGTCCTGTGCTTTCTAGACATGGGTCCAAGTCGTTTTGCCTTTGCCCCTCTGCGATTCCCTGGAAAACCCACACTTTAGCGCTAAATAAGAACAAACGGCAATCCTCAAAAAAACCAATTGCTGTTCCTTCTGATTTCTTTTGATTCCGTGGGTTTCCCCAGAGGAAAGTGACAGGCCAAAGAGAAGTGTGGAGGAGCCTAATATTTTTCCTGAAGTCTGAGAATTTTGATTACACCAGCATTATGGAGTGTGGGTGGCTCCGCAGTTTAGAGGAGGACCTCAAGCATACGTTGCTTTTGGGTCAACAGTTTAGTGGAGCCTTCACTCTAGTCAGCAGATTGGATGCTGTCAGGTCGTCCAGGTCCTATTTAAGATCAAAAGGTTTAATCATGAGAAGAAAACAAAAGGATAGCAGGAGATGGAACACTTAGATTCAGCCCTATTCCTATCTTTCCCATCCCTGATTACTCATCACTGGATGAAGGTCAAGATAGTCTCAGTGGGTTGGTGTTCAGGCCAGGGATGGGGAACCTGTGGCCCCCCAGATGTTGCTGGACTACAACCCCCATCATCCCTCACCATTGGCTATTGGCCATGTTGGTTGGGGCTGACGGGGATTGGAGAACAACAATATATGGAGGCTAAAGCGAGATGAGTGCCGCAACCCCAGAGTCGGTCACGACTTGACCTAATGGTCAGGGGTCCCTTTACCTTTTTACAGGTTCCCCACTTTGACTTTGAACAGATACCTGCTTCACCTTTTTTCCTGTCTGTATCTGTTTTTCTGGGTGGTCTGGGAGGAGACTTAGAATACAGTAGGGTGTTAGCCAGCTGCTCAGGTCCACCTACTCACTTTTGTATATTTAATTTATATTTATTTATATACTGCCTTTTCTCCATGAAGATGAAGGTGGAAATTCAACAACTGCATCGGAAGATCTATAAGGGCAGGGAAATTTGTCTCTTATTACTGAACTACTTATTGTGGAATGCCTGATAAGCTTCTGAGAAGTCTCAGGGTTCATAAGAGCACAGTTTTGACAACCGCCACCCTAAGACCTATCCAGATGAGGGTGTTTTCCAGGAAGCAGATTGTGATTCAATATGCCTGTTTTTCCTTCCTCAGAACTACCACACAGGCATCTTCATTAGCTCACCCTGTTCTTGTTGAGAATCTTATCCAAATTCTCGAGTTACAGCAGGCGCGATCTTCCTGCCTTCTCCAGCATGGGTCTTCCTTCCCATGTAAATAAAAAAGTAATCTGAGAAGGAGCTTGTAGATGGAGGTTGCCTCTCTATGATAAACAAGCATGACCTTATGCACTTAAGTCAGTGCCAGGCTATTAGTTTGCCCTGAGCTCGCCTCTAGGTTGTGAAAGGCCATTGGGTAAGATCTAGCCTTGTCTTCCTTTACCTGCTAAAATCAGGGTTAAATTATATATGACATTAAATGTATTATTTGACATTTCATATAGTTGTTTTTTTTAAAAAACACACAAAACCCCTAAACACTGGCATCTGCTGGGGGCAGGGGACAATAAGGACTACAGGGAGGGTCAGCCCTTTCTAGCTATGCCGCAGACCTGACGAAAGTCACATACAGTGGTACCTCGAGTTACAGACGCTTCAGGTTACAGACGCTTCAGGTTACAGACTCCGCTAACCCAGAAATAGTACCTCAGGTTAAGAACTTTGCTTCAGGATGAGAACAGAAATCGCGCAGCGGCAGCAGGAGGCCCCATTAGCTAAAGTGGTGCTTTAGGTTAAGAACAGTTTCAGGTTAAGAATGGACCTCCGGAACAAATTAAGTACCCGAGGCACTTTGCTCTGCCCCAAGAGGGAAGCTCCAGTGGCCATGAATGGAATCTTCCCACAGCCAATAGTACTGTTATGAGTTTGGGGTGTTAACCTGGGTACCAGACACCTTTAATCCCTGGATCCAGTGAGTGTTAGAATTTAATCGGGGAATCTAATTCTTGGAATAGCCAGGCTAGCCTCCTGGTGAGGTGATAGCCTGGGTGATGAGCCATTAAGGGACATACCCCTTTGGGGGTTGATGTGAACCCCACCACTGTGGCTTCAGGTTGTATATAGGTGTAAAGAAATCATGTGTCATAAAGACACCACAGTCTCTGCTGTGCCTCATTCCTGAAAGGAAACACAAACCCTGTGTTCGTGCCTGGAACCCCAGGAAACTTGAACCACCTGCAGATTGGGGTAGCATACTACAGTATGTTTGGACCAAGGTTGCTGGAAAACTCAGCTCTTAATGGACATGGAAGTAGAAATTGCTGCAGTGTGCATTCTTATTAGAAATGAAAATCACAAGGTTGAGTTTTTTTAAAAATGAACTCTCACAAACTATGTCTTTAATAACATTGTTTTTAGAATAGTTTTGACGTTTCCTTTACATTGCATTCACATGCAACCCACTATGTGGGATCAGCTGATGGGTGGGGAGTCCAGTCCTGATTTCTGCATCGTTGAGCTGCATCAGTGCCAAGAAACACAACAGAAATATGGCAGAAATGACCAAAGAATGCTGCTACAGTAGACAGCAAGACATAAAAGGTGGTGTTTGGTGGAAACGGAACTGCATCAGAATGGAAACAGCGCTGATTACACGGCTTGGAGTGGAAATTGCTGTCTACTTACATCCCTAGATAAGAGCGAGGGTTCATTTTTCACGGACTCTTCAGTGCCAAAGGAAAGAGTTAACTCTACCATATTGTACACTGTGCTCCCAGTCCTACTGGAGGTCTTGGCAGCATGTGATATCAGATTGTGTCACACATAGTCTGGGCCTTCATCCTGGAGGCAAATGCTAGCTCTTGTAATCATGTTATGCCGGGTCTACTCTGGGCTGAGTTCATGGTACATGGTGTTGCTGTTCTCCAGTAGGAACCCACTTGGTGAGAAGGAATCTACCCTGGATGGGAGGCCTACCCAGTGGCAGCATGGGAAAATTAATTTGTGCAAAGCAAGATGGCAGGAAACTAGAAGGACCCAGAGCAGCAACTTCTGGGCTCAGGAAGGAACTGAAGGGGAGATTTTAGAAGGAGCCCCAGATTCAAGGCAAACTCTGGAAGAAGATGGAGTAGCAGTTAATGGCTGACTTGACAGGGTACATTTCCTGACCCAGCAGAAGCTGGCTGTTTGGAAGAGATAACCTTCTAGTGGCAGCACTGTATCAGGATCGTATTATAATGCATGTGGGGAAATTGCTTTGCAAAAAGTTTATATTAGGCAAAACTGCATACAAAAATGTGCGTATCAGCAGAAATTCACACTGTGTACTGATGAATTTTCATGAGGACTCTCAAAACAAAATCCACAAATTGATGCGGAAATGTGGAGAAGTGAATTTAGGACTAGAAAAATAAGACACTGAAGCCAACATGTTTGCGTATCCCTGGTGAGTGCTGAAGCACATCATTAGTAGCATATATATCTTTGGAACCTGTTAATTTATTTTAGAAATACTTTATTGATTTTATTTTAGGCATTTAACTATTGCCCTCCAAAATATCCCAAGGGCAGTTTACACTGTCAAAGGAATGAGCTAATCAAACAATGAAAAATCCAAAATAGATAAACAGCATACATAGAAAAACACTCTGTGCTGTAGATGGCCTCTAACACTCCAGAATGACTCCATGCTTTCTCTCTGTATATATATAATTGATTGAAAAAAACTATGTTGACTAGAATGTGCTTTTCGATTTAAAAATGACTCTCTTCCACTTTTCTGTATTGCCACAACAACATTCACAAGTGACACACGGAAGAATAAAAGGTGCTCTCAGACAAGCAAACGAGGCTATTCGAGATACTTCATCATCTTCAAGGGTGCCAGCGGCTTCCATCCCATTTTCGATCCCAGAGGCGGGGGCTCGCCAAGTTCACAAGCTATACCAAGTTGCAACAGCCGCACTCCCAGCAGATCCAACCTCATCTTTCAAAGGGCACATGATTTGCAGCTTTAAACTTGCAGGATGTGGACAGCTATAGGCTCAGTGCCTTGCTCACCACTTCCATTTGGCCAGCGAGAGTGGAGTTCTCAAATGGGCACAGCACTTCTTTGCTTCCTCCTGTTTTTAAAAAGCCCCTCTATGGGCAGCCAAGGCACAGAAGGTGGAATGGCGTTGGCACTTCCCATCCCACCAATATCCTCCAAAAACCAAAATGTGGGGCAACTCTCCTCTCCTCTCCTCTCCTCTCCTCTCCTCTCCTCTCCTCTCCTCTCCTCTCCTCGCCATCTTTGTCCCATGCCAGCCACCCAGGCAAATCCTTCCCTCCAGAAAGGAGCAGAGGAATTAACATCATAGCTAAATGGAGTTGCAAGTGGGTGAGCCCTTCCACCTAGAGAGCCAGTGTGGTGTAGTGGTTAAGAGCGGTAGTCTCGTAATCTGGGGAACCGGGTTCGCGTCTCCGCTCCTCCACATGCAGCTGCTGGGTGACCTTGGGCCAGTCACACTTCTGTGAAGTCTCTCAGCCCCACTCACCTCACAGAGTGTTTGTTGTGGGGGAGGAAGGGAAAGGAGAATGTGAGCCGCGTTGAGACTCCTTAAAGGGAGTGAAAGGCGGGATATCAAATCCAAACTCTTCTTCTTCTTCTCCACCAACAATTGCTCTGGGCTGCAGCACCAAAAAACCCCACATTATACCCATCCCTCTGCCATAGCAGCCAACCTTCCCTTTTTTTTTGCGGGAAATTCCCTTATTCCAGCGCTGTTTCCCGCTGCTTCCCGCTGCTATCCTGGATTGTTAGCTATCCCGTAGACTGTCCCCGGGACAGGTGAGGCTGCTGATCCCTTATTTTCAAATCTGAAAGTTGACAGCTATGCCCTTTGCTTGCTTCGGGTTGGCGAACCCTGGCTTAAAAAATTGCCTGCATGTTATGCAATCTTTCTAGAAGATGTAGAGCAGTGTTTCCCAAACTGGGTTATACTGCCGTGGGGGGTAGGGGGTGGTGGGGCTGGCTGAAATAATCCAGGGTGGTGGTAGTAGTCTTGGGTAGAATTAGGGAGCATTGAATAAAAATAAGGGGGCAGCGGAAGCATAAAGAAAGAGAAGAAAAGATTTTTTTTAAAAAAACACCATCCGTACATGTTTCATCTGTTGTGTAATGACCCTTACTGCCAGGCCGGGAGCAGTTGCAGGATGGAGACAACGCCTCCCCGGGATCCAGCGGTCATGCTGTAGGTGAGGACTTTCCCCAGGCTTGGTGTGAACCCTTTTCAGCTTCAACCAGGCCTGGGAAGTGGATTGCAACTAGCCTGCCTGTCTGGCCAGTGGCAGGCAGGCAGCAGCACTGGCACTACCCGTGGGGTGGATCGGACTGAGCCGGCCGGCTTAAAGAAGATAGATTTCTAGGGGAGCACTGGATATTTTTTTCCTGAAAAGGAGGCAGTAGGCCAAATAAGTTTGGGAACCTTTTGGAACCTAGAGATTTCCTTTTTTGAAATGAAAGCTCAGAGTTTGGCATGGGTCCTGGTGTAATCACTACATCATGAATTTGGCCCTGCTAGGACCGCAGGGATTCCTATTGCCTGGTGTCCAAACAACTCACTTATCAATCAAAGTTCTAACTTCACTCATTGGCTAAAACCACAGATAGGCGGGCGCAGCCAGGCTTGCTCATGTGACAGAAATTATTTAGAAGGGTATCTTCACACTGTGCTTCATAATTTGTTTTCTAGAAGGGCTAGAGACTTACTCTTTATTTTAAAAACATGAAATCCGGTGCCTCTGTTCAGGGGCATCAATGAAGGCTTTCACAGGCGCTGGATTGAGAGTGCCTCCACTGACTTTAACTGGGGAATGGGAGACATGAAGGGTGGAAACAGTGCAACAAACTAAAATACTAGAATTCAACTGTGGCAATTCATTGTTTGTAGCCATGTTTCAAAAGTATCTTCTGTGCTAACAATGTATATTAAAACCTCAGCTGCAGGGGGCCCTAATTCTGGGCATACTGGGTGGTTTTGCCACCAGGATCATTGCAGGCATGGGAGACCTCAGGCGCCAGGGCAGTGGCGTAACATGGGCAGGATCACAGGGGCGGGTGTCCCAGGCTCGAAATTCTTAGGGGTTCAAAAATTCAAAAGAAAAGAAGAAGAAAGTAGTAATAATAAATTAAAAAAATAGTGCGCCTTCCCCATCACATAGAAAATCTTCCAACGTTCACATGGGCAGACTAAGGAGTTGATTTGGGCAATGGTTGGTTGCGAGGGCACCCTCTACATGGGCTTTAGAAAGATACCCACTCCTGATCAATCCACCATCCCACTCTCCGCCATGCACAATGCTCATGGGGTGCCACTGCTGCCACTTGTGTAGTTCACTGAGCTATTGCTGCTTCGTTCCAGCCTATTGGCGGGCAGTGCTGAGGATACTAGCTTTGCCCTGGGTGCTGGAAACCCACGCTACACCACTGCATCAGAGACTGGATGTGTCCCTCCAAGCCTCTGGATCTTGCCCTTGGGATTGTCCCCAGTCCACACCCCAGCCCAGCTCAACTTCATACCCACCTTGAGCGCTTCTGCTTCGCCAGGATGTATCCTTGAACTCTGAGAATGCCTCTTGGTGGGCTGGATAGATAGAAACAGGCATGTGTGTGTGTCCAGGCCCATCCACCGTTGCCAGGTGGCCTCCAGAAGGTTGCCCAGATGGGAATGTGTCCCTCAGTCTGACTCAGCCACCACTGAGCTAATGAACTGGGGGTGATATGGCACTGTTGTGCCTGGTTTGTGCTTAATGATCCAGTGGTGTGTGCGTCGCTGTCATTGTGAGTTCATTTGCACCCTGGATGGCATGTGGGTGTCATCTCTGGCATGGTCTCTGATTGGTGGGTCCTGAAAGAGTTTTCATTGTGACACTGAGAGGGTGTCTGTCATTTTCATCCTGTTCCCACCCCCTGTTTTTGTATGTTCTGCTCCTCCCAGCATGAGTAAGCACTGGATCCACCACCACATCCTGATGCAATGTGGGTTTTTAACATGATTGTTTTGTCTTATATTATGGCACTTTTCGCCTTCTGTTTTTGAATGCTGCTCTGCAGAAGAGCGAGTCTCCCCCACTTCCTTTGGTAGTAGCTTGCTGGTGGAGAACAGCTTAAACCCCCTGTGAAATTTAGAGGCTCAGGACCTCTTGTGAGTTTAATTCACGATGACAGACGGAGTAAAATTCTATGCACGTTTCTTCAGAAGTAAGTCCCAGTAAGTTCAATGGAGAGTACTCCCTGGAAAAGGTGTAGTATGAGAGATGTAATGAGCAAATCAATGAGACAGAGTGCAAATCCACTGCGGTCTCTCTATGTGACCATGGCAGAGACAGTGGCATCTTCAAGCCAGTTATTTACAACACTCATTTCTAAGGTGCTTAGCAATTATATATTATAAAAGAGTGGTTTGTAGAAGCGTTAACACACACACACACTTCAGATAGAAAACCAGGTTTTGATGGGAACTACCCAGAGGAGGTCTTAGCAAATGACAGATCCTTTTTGTGTTAACAGAGCAACCTTTTAATTCATGTCTATGATCTTTTCAATCAGGTGAGATTTCTTACACACACACACACACACACACACACACACACACAAATTCTTGCCTCCCTGCCTGGCTATCCCAGATGCCATTAGACATAACTCAACAGACGATTTCATAAACCTACTTAAGAATGTAAAAGTTTGATAATAATTCCCGTATTATTAACCCTCCCACCCTTGTAAATTTTATGGGCTGGGAGCTACAGGGGGGGATGGAGGCCCGGCCATCGGACGGGGCTCCGCAGCTGTGATTCATTCTCCTGTCAGTCTGGGTCATATTTATTAATAGTCCTAATGCGGGAAGCAATAAAGGAAGAGAGAAATTCTATTAATTAAATCATTGTTATAATTAACTTTCATTAAAGGAAAATCAATAAAGAGGAGCCGCGATTGAAATAGTGCCCATCCATTATGGCCGATTTTACTGGAATGCATTCAGGGCCTGCTATATATTATAGCTCTGGCGGGGGCGGGGTGGTGGTGGGGAGAGGTAGCAGGCCTGCGAAGGGAGGGCTGTGTCACAGCCGACTGATTTAAAGAGCCCTGCTCCATTTCTCCCTCTCTCTCCCCGCCCCCCTCTGTGCGTGTTCATGTATAGATTCGAGGCAGGTATACGGAAGATCTATGTCCTCCTGTAATAGAGACTAGTGTGTAAATATAAGTGTGGGTATTTTGGGGAGGGATGGGTATGCCAGTGTGCACTGAAGCAGATTACTGGAGTGGACGCGTTTATTGGAACTGGTTATGTGAAGAAGAAGAAGAGAAGGAGGAGGAGGAGGAGGAGGAGGAGGAGAAGAAGAAGAAGAAGAAGAAGAAGAAGAAGAAGAAGAAGAAGAAGACGCCTACCTGCACCACTGATATCAGGAGGGGATTAGGAAGCACATGTTTTATGTGCATTGCCTGATAGAGTACACATTTGTGGAGTCCTGTCCCAGAGATGTCAACCTGTGACGTATAAATGCATGCTGCCCTGTTTTAGCCAAGCCCACAAGGTGCTGATCTAGAGATGAGGAACATGTGGCCCTTCAGATGCTTCTGGACTACAATTCCCATCCTACCTGGTCTTATGGCTGTGCTGGCTGGGGCTGATGAGAGTTGGAGTCTAACAACATCTGGAGAACCACAGGTTCTCCACAGAGATGGAAAGCCTAGAAGGGATGCAGGGTCAGTGGGAATCATTTAACAATCAAAGGTAGCAGGTTCTAGATAGCAAGGCTCAGATCAGGGTTTCAGGACCTGGGAGAGCTCCTAGGTAAGGCAGGTGTTGACCTGAAAAAAAGTCCAAAGTACAGCAGGGTTCTTACATTCTCATGAAACTAATAGAATCATACTCCTCAGGCAAGTTGCTGGGGATGTAAAAGGGCAGCACTTTGGCTTGCATCTAGTGATGACACTAGATGGCCTTGGAGCATGCTCTCCACTCTCTCCAATGAGCCCCACAGGGGGAGCAAAAGTCTTGGGGTACTGCAGCAATTCCATTATTTCACCCTGTCCACCAAAGGCTCTTTGGGGATTTCATCCCCATGCTGCCCTTCAGATGTTTTGTTGGACTCCAACTTCCATCAGCCCTAGCCAGCATGGCCACTGGCCAATGATGGACACCGTAGTCCAACAATATCTAGAGGATACAAAGTTGCCTACTCTTACTCTAAACCCAGAAGCTTCTGGGGCTTTGAAGCTTCCCGGGCAGGAAATCCTGGGTTATCATATATGAAGCCACTGTCAAAAAGGTCTAGGGGCTGGGACAGGTATTCAAAGTGTTGCAGCCACCACCATGTTGGACTGAGACTCAAATTGGTTAACCAGGGCAGGTTTAGGTTAGATTTTGATAAGAGGTAAACGTAAAGGACCCCTGACAGTTAAGTCCAGTCGCAGATGACTCTGGGTTTGTGGCGCTCATCTTGCTTTACAGGCCAAGGGAGCCGGCGTTTGTCTGCAGACAGTTTTTCCGGGTCATGTGGGCAGCATGACTAAGCCGCTTCTGGCGCAATGGAGCACTGAAACCAGAGCAGCACATGGAAACGCCATTTACCTTCCTGCCTATTTATCTACTTGCACTTTTTTGGGCATGCTTTCAAACTGCTAGGTTAGCAGGAGCTGGGACTGAGCAACGGGAGCTCACCCCGTCGCGGTGATTCAAACTACTGATCTTCTGATCGGCAAGCCCTAGGCTCAGTGGTTTAGACCACAGTGCCACCCGCGTCCTTCAGATTTTGATAAATGCATACTATTGCATGTCCAGAATATGTTAAATTATACATGCCTCAGCAGTATAAGCCAGGTCTGCTACTGTTCTCAACATTGATATTTCATTGCTGTTTTCTCTCTGTGTGTGTTTTAATGTTGTTTATTGCAAAGAGAAGAGACGACTGAGGTGGGGCATGAATGGTAACACTTTCCAAATACCTGGAAGGCTGCCACAGAAAATAGGGCAAAGACTTGTTCTCTCCTGCCCCAAATATAAAGGGCTTCAGTTGGCAGATTTTGGCTGAACATCAGCATAAATGCTTTGACTGTTGGACAATGGAACCCATTGCTTAGGGCAGGGGTGGTTAAATTAGTGCCTTCTATATATTGTTTGACTCCAACTCCAATCAGTCCCAGCCAGCAGGGCCAGTCAACAGGGATGATGGGAACTGTAGTCCAGCAAACATCTGGAGCGTACCCCCTTGGCTACCCTTGACCTGGGAGGTGATGAGTTCTTCACTGGATGTCTTACAGCAGAGGGTGGGACACCTGAGCCTCTGTTGCTGACACTCTGGATTCCCTACACCCCACCAAGCTCTGTGATTCCACATACATTGTAAGGTGAGATTATGACAACAATTTTTGGAGTACTTGTATTGCTTGGATGTTGTGCATAGGCCTGGTCCCCACCACTGGGCTGACAATCTAAGAAACTAGACAGGTAAGGGAAAATTAATGGAGAGAAAGGGCCGAGAAGGGAGATCTGTTCAAGAGTGCCAGAATGAAATGATGTGTTTGTAACCGGTGTTAAAAGCCATGATAGGCCATCCCCTGATCTTCTATTGGTGGTACTCTTGCCAGGCAAGAAAGGTGCAACCTCTTAGTCCTTTGACCAGTGATACGGGCCACATTCTATATATAAAACCCCTGTGTATACTGCTGATTGTTCTGCAAGGTGCTGTATTGCAAAGGGTTAAGAAGAAATGGGGAACCTGTGTCCCCAGTGGCGTAGCATGGGTTGTCAGCACCCAGGGCAAGGCAAGTAATTTGCGCCCCCTCTCTCCGCACCACACGCCTGGCACGCCCCCCCTCCACAGTGGGCGGCGACCCGGCGGCTCGGATCGGATTCGTACAGCCAGCACTGCAGTGAGAGAGAGTGAGTGAGTCAGGTAGGGGCAGAGAGCTGTGAGTGCGAGCGCCCCCCCAGATGTTGCGCCCGGTGCGCCCGGCCCCCCTGCACCCCCCACGCTACGCCACTGTGTGTCCCTTCAGATGTTGTGGATTACAGCTCCCATCACCCCTGACCACTGGCCATGCTGGTTGGGGCTGAAAGGAACAGGAGTTGTTGTTTTTTAAAGTAGGACCACAGGCTCCCACAGAAGTAGGGTGGTCTGACAAGACATCCCTGATGTCATGAGCAACAGGGGAAGAAGAAGAAAAGTTTGGATTTGATATCCCGCTTTATCACTACCCGAAGGAGTCTCAAAGCGGCGAACATTCTCCTTTCCCTTCCTCTCCCACAACAAACACTCTGTGAGGTGAGTGGGGCTGAGAGACTTCAAAGAAGTGTGACTGGCCCAAGGTCACCCAGCAGCAGCATGTAGAGGAGCGGAGACGCGAACCCGGTTCCCCAGATTACGAATCTACCACTCTTAACCATTACACCACACTGGCTCAGTGCAGTCCAACTAATTCTGGAGGGACACAGATTCCCCTACCCTTGTCTTTTTTAAAAAAGGGAGGTGGCAGTGAACACGCACATAATCACACACGTGTGTGGATTTGAGAAGTCTTTGTCCTGAAGAGAAGATTGTTCAATGTCCTAAAATCATAGCCTGGTCTTGGCTGTGTGGAGTCACCCCAGTTGCAGTTCAGCCCCGGAAAGGGCAATGCCTTCTTTGCAAAATGCGCTGCGCTGCTTCTGGATGCAATTTTTCGTTTCTCTTTTTCTTGTTGCTACAATGATCCATTATTAATGTTGCTTGGTGGTTTCTTTCCAATACCCAGCATGCTCAGAAACCTTGGCACGTGGCTGAGATTGAATAGGCC